AGGAAGGGCGGTAGTGTGGTTTTAGTGTCAATAATATGCAAAGTTGTTTAAATTAAGACTCTGCTAATGAGAAAATGTGTGCCGATCAAGTTCTTATCTCTACACATGTTCTTCTGCATTTTGTTGTTGTAACTCAGTCAAGGAGGTAGATAACTCAGCTCAAAACCGAGGACATTGACAGTGAGCAGAGTTTAACCTGACGTCAGCTGGTGCTGATCAGTGCAAACAGAGAGAAAATGGAACATCCTGGATATCTGTGTGTGTTTTTGTGTTTGTTTGTGTGTGTGTGTGTGTGTGTGTTTGTTTGTGTGTGTGTTTGATCCCTGGGGGATCTGGGTTCTGCCCCATCCCGGTTGCCCCCCCGCATGCGTGCGCACGTACACACGTACACACACACACACACCTACCTACTTCCACACATAACATCATTAGGTGAGCACTTGTTTTAGTGTGTGTGAGCAGACTCAAACAGTGGGCCCCCACCAAGCTTTTCCTTCCTTCTTGTCGGTGAGTGCGTGTGCTCGCCTAGGCAACAGAATGCCCCATTGTGAAGGCAGCACAGAGACCCTGTTATTGGCAAGTCTCTGAGTGGGCGGAAGGGAGCACGGAGAAAGATGGAGGGAGGGAGAGATGAACAGCGAGGGAGAGAGTGGAGAGATAAATGAATTGAAGTGTCCAGAGAGCAAAATGCTGGTTGAAAACTGCAGAAAAGTAAGTGAAGTGATAAATAACGTGGAAAAGGAAGTCGGTGGGTAATAATTAATTACACTGACTTCACTAATCTTACAAAGCACTTACAGTTCTCTTTTATTTTAGTTAAACGTATTTGCAGTCCTAACTACCGAACTACTGACAATAAGATGCAAAGATCATTGTTGATTTTTTATCTTTCTTAATAAAGTACCGATAAAAGACTGGGTTGTGTTAGCCTAGTGAAGCACTAACACAGGAAGCTGGTAGTCTCTATCAAAAGGAGGGAAAAAAATGTGCTTCGAATGACATCAAACATGTTATATCCGTATGATATATATTAGATAGCATCCTAATCATTAACATATTTAAGAGTCAGCCCGGTTTTGTTTAGAGTTCTGAGATGCAGAATTTGTAGTCCAGATGCTGCATCAGCTGAAAGGCAAAAGGTTATGACAGAGGATCATTTGATGAGCCTCAGGGCCAGGATGAACTTGCATATTCTTCCCAATTAAGGTGATGTAGCTTCATAGAGAAGAAAAAGAAGGTCTGTAAACCTCTAGAACATTGTAAAGGGTCTATAGTCACAAAATAATTGAGCACAAGCACACTTTAAATACTAGTGGTGCAATGGACCGTAGCTGACCCATAATCCATACGGATCCCCACCCATGGTTCAACACACATGTGAACCGTGGATTAATTGCAAAGTTTCACCATTGTAATGTGAAATACAGTTTTATTGTCGCAGTTACTTTTTTAAATAACTAAAAGAACACTTGGAGAGTGCAGTCCTCCGCTGAGGTAAATGTCTATCTTACAATATTAAAATACGTAATCTGGATCCACACAGAAATTTCATTGACCATGCTCTATCTCTCCACCAAGTTTTGTGAAAATTCACCTGGTAGTTTTTGTGTAATGCTGCTTTTAGACAAACAAAGAGACAAACAGACGAATGAAAACATACCTTCGGCGAGATATAATTCCCTACATCTCAATGCAGAGCTGTAGTGACAAGATCTTTTTTTTGCTGATCTGAAAAATGATCTGATCGGTGACTCAAAAGTCATAATATGATCCAAACTGAATTGTGTGCCCTGTTGCACTCTTATTAAATACAGAAGAGTTAATGGTCCAGGTCTGTGCTTTGTTTAGATTGTGATTGAGGCTTAAAGTCACTTCTATATTGTCTGTTACTTTTCTCCCAACATCCTCAGAATTTTAGAGACACAGATTATCTGACTCAACGTTATCTAGTCACATCTTAATTATTGCAAGACACTCTTCACTTGTATTAATACTAAAAAAACAAAAAACAAAAACAAACTATGAAGTGGCTAGAGCTTTAAACAAAAGGCAAAGAGGCATAACTGTACACTCACACTTGCTTTTCTTTGTTTTTCTCACCCTCTACATGGTGTTTAACACTTCTTGATGTTGTTTCTTATCTACATACATACGCACACACGCACACGCACACACACACACACACAGACCACTCAAGGCCACTTGAGGGCTTTTCTGCAACAGACTAGAAAAACTCTGTGACTTCGTTTATGAGTAACATCCCAATGACGGCTGAAAATCAATCAGACTGTAATTTACAGCATGAACTGCTTCTGAGTTCCTCAATTCAAAAATAGGAACTGTGTTTGATCACAGAGAAGAGAGCAAGACTCAGACTGTCCCTGTACCCTGTGGTCTCAGCCTTGTTAGAGGAAACATTTGACAGGAAATGAAATGCACTCATTTCAACACACTCAAACGCTGGCTAGTGTCATTTCTCAGACTGGATAGTGTGGGCTCATTTGTGCTCACTCAATGTTGACCTCATTTCCTGTCACCAAATAATAATCAGGTTTAAGTATATTTTTTAAAATATTGTCGGTTTTGCTTAATCTATTGCTCGCCATGCAACTCATTGGTTTGTCTAATGCAGATTTGGTTCATTGAATGTCTATGTGAAACTTTAGCTCCTGTTCTTTGTATAACCAAATGAAAGCTTTAAAATGTCAACTTAACAGTAAAAATCCTGTAATACACTTTGTTAATGAACATAGAGCTGACCAGGGTAAGAGGTTCATCCTATTTCCAAAGTTAAATACTAGTTAAGAGAGTGAGTTGCTACGCATAATATGATGTATTATTTACTTATACGCATGTTTTCATACTTGATTGCAATTTTATATTTTTTAGTGTTTTCTTTAAGAAAAATTCTTACCCAAAATGCATAATTTAAGTAAATTGCATGTTTAAGTCATATGTAACTTGTACTCTTTCTTATTACATGACATTCACGGCACAGTGTAATAGATCTAGTCTTTATTGCGTCATATTATAGTATAGCCTGTGTTGGGAGGTCCACATCGGTTTAAAAACATTCTGTTTGTGCTGCAGTTGTTCGGTAGACTGAGGAAGCTAAATGAAAGTGCAAACACATCTACATGGATTTTAATTTTTAGTCTTGCTTAGGCCCAACATCAGGTGCCTTCCAGGTGCTATTTAGTGCAGCAGGTGCCCCATTACACTGAGGTAAAACTGTGTTTGTGGTTCTAACTGGGAAACCAGCAGCTTCCTGTGTGGTTGAAGGTACAAGGCAGAGAAATAAAACACTGTGAATGCAGTGGGTGCTTGATTAATGATTTTGATAGCACAGAACAGCTTTTTGCGCAACCAGCCCAAGTTGTTTTTGTGATAGCTTGAGTGTATGCATAAGCATTGTCCTTATTGAGCTATTGCTAACAGTTGAGCAGGTTTGCATCATGTGAATGGTGGTGGCTGGCACTGCCTGCTGTTTGTTAATCAAGGCCTGGGATTGTGAATCTGCATATGAGAAGTTTGAACACTGTCATGATGTACATTAATGTACCCAGATGGCATGAAAGAAGTGAAATCTAGAATATATTGTGTGTTAAAAGGTAAGTCTGTGATACTTGAGAAAGACTGTTGATATTTACCTAGTTAACATACCTAAATAGTTAACATTATTTCCTCTTCATTCCCACTGCCCTCTTTCAGCCCATCTCCCCTCCCCTTCCTTTCCCTATGTCATATGCACAAGCAGTGACATACGCGAATGTGACATGCTGGAATAGTGTTGTGGGGACTGGTCCAAACCACGTTGTTTGTTTCCCATAAGCAGAGCCAGGCCTGTGTGTAAACACCAGATTATTTTTCAGTGTGCACACAGAACAGAAAGCTAGCTAGCTGATGATGAGGTGATATTTGCTGAATTTGACTAAAAGTGAGTTGGATTAGAATCACTGACTTTCACTTTAATAGACTGCTAATGGAGAGGGATGGGAATGCCTTGTGAGAAGCCAATCTTGAATCCACTTATGCAGCACTCAAGTGTGTCAGAGAGGTGTAGGGAGAATTGAGTGAGTCTCTGAGAACATACTTTGCATGCCAATACTTCTTGTGTCATTTGCGCGTCCTTGCATAGTGGTTTGTTGTGTTTAAAGTATTGATTGACTGCTTAAAACCAGTACTCCTTAAGTTTTTGAATTCTAGACATACTAGGTTTTCATGTCTGTCCAACCCTGAGATCATGGTCAAATAAGTATGATAAAGATGTTTTTATACTTCATGTTTATGCCAATATTTCTCTCGTGTCTTTTAATGTAAAACACAATGGGTTTACTTTACATTAAATGTGCTGTTCTATAAATAAAACTGCCATTGCTATTGTAGATGTAACAGATTATAGAAAAAGTCATACAGACCTAACAGCAGTTTCTGTCTGTGTCTTTGTGCGTGATCAACCTTTGTAGAGGCTCTAAACTAAACAGAAGTGCTGCTGAAAGTGGCAACTCTTATCAAAAGTCAAAACTGCTTAGGGATCTTACTTCTGAGGCAACGCAACTTCCTCTTCTACTGAGATAGAAGGCATCCACCCCTGCAAGTTTAACACATCAATTTTGACACCGCTGGTTACGTTCCATAAAAGTGATCATCTCTTGAATTTTTACAGTTACATCTTAATTGATAATCATAATGGTTTATTTTTCCGGAATGCAAATTTTTACCTCATGTTTGCAACATAACAGATTTCGTAATGCAGAATTTCACAAAATAGGGTAGTATGTGGGATTTTTTTTTTACGATCTATAATCAGACAAGTGTGACTCACAGTAATCCAGTTATAGAAGCTAAAACAGTTTTAAAAAGTTTATGGAAAAAATACAGTTTTTTGAGAATACATGCTTTTTTAATTGTTCCTTATTTCTAACTGTTATTTCTTTAAAAGGAAGTAATGCTTTTTTTTTTTTTTTTTTTACAATGTTCATGTTTTGTCTCTTTTACAGCTTGTGCAAACAAGGATCTGAGGTGTTTAAGGTCTGCATTTTCTCCATCAATGTGGACCCTGTGGACGTGGGCCCTCGCACATGCTGCACACCTACACATCAACCATGTCTCAGTCTGAATCTTGTACCAATGTGTGGGACTGGTTATGCGTGCTTCGTCTGGAGCAGTATTCTGAGACATTTCGGGGCGCCGGGTTGGCAACGCTACAACAATGTCGCAACCTCACAGCAGATCAGCTGGAGCAAATGGGCATCACCCTGCCAGGTCACCAGAGACGCATCCTGGCTAGCCTGAACAAAACGCATGGTAATCGTGATACATACTCTCATGTTGTACAGTCGGAGAGATTGGAAGAAACAGGTCATGCTGAAGTCTCGCAGAAACCTGTGACTAACCCAGTGGAAGAAAAACCTTTTCTTAAGGAAAGCAAAGAGAGAGATGAAGAGACATTGAGGCCAACACCCAGGGAGAGAGAGAAACCTGTCCCCAAGGAGAGACATTTGTCTAGAATGCAAGAGAGCAGTAGAGAAGGAGGAGAGAAGAATCCAGTTCCTGGGCAAAGACAAACTGCAGCTGGAAGAGAGAAAGAGGAAGAGAGGAATGGAGGACTCGATGGAGAGAGGGAGAAACCTGTGCCAAGAGAGAGGACTAAATTTCGCTCTGGTGCTCCAGTCGACTGTCACCCTAGCCCCCTTGTCTCTCCAACTTCTGACACCGCTTTACCTCCTGTCCCTCCACGAATCACCCCCAACTGCCCTCCACAGCGCTTCACCTCTTCCCTGTGCCCCTCACCTCCTGCTCAAACCCCGAGCTCCCCTAAACCAGAGAGACGTGCAGTTGCAGCTCCAGCTGTGCCAGATAGATCTGCATCTCCGAGTTCCACCCCCACACAAGCACCACTCCAACCTCCTAACATCCTATCTACCCACACTAGACCTCAGACGTTAGCCATTCAGCCATCCGCTCAACATCTGAGTACTGATGGAGAAAGAAAATCTTTACCCATCTCCCCCACCGCCTCACCCCCTGTTGATAGAAATGCTCCACCTCTCCCTCCAAAAGTTGGGGCAGGAGCTAAAGGCCCTCCACCAGTCCCACAGCGGTGTCCTGCACAGTCTCCCAGAACCCACAGGTAAGACTATTTTGAATGGATATTATTGTTGCAGCTCACTCATTTTGCAGTGAATGCGGTTTAGTGTTAAGGTTGCTTATGCAGTACTTGTGTTAAAAAAAAACAACAACAACAAAAAAGCTCACTGTCAGCACTGAGTTTATTGCAGAGACAATGTTTAGGTAGTGGATTGTGCAATGTGTGTTAGCAGGACTAGTGTAAACTGGTGTCACTCACTTGCCCTTCTTTTTGGATCCAAAGTAACCCTTCTTTTCCTCCCACACTGCCTTTTCCATCATCCATCAACATCAACAGAATAACTTTATATAGCTGTACTCTGTAACCCTAAAGACCCAGTGATGTGTGTTAGTGTTCCTCTGTGTTATTAAATAAATTTAATTAAGAAATGGTAAAGAATGTCGCCTCTGATATGACATTTACTCTAGGTGGATTGTGCTGCCATCTATTGGGAAAGTTTGGAAAATGCACCTATTGTCATTCTTTACTATCTGTTAAGACACAAAGAATGTTAATGGTGACTTTTAAACGCTTCCTGAAAGTAAAATTGACCACTTCCTGAAACTTCAGGTTAGAAGTACATTGACTGACTGAGTGGGCTTAAAGCTCAGTGGCCTGATGAATACGGAAAAAGTGAACAAGACCAAGAGTGAGCGAGAGAGAGAGAGAGAGAGAGAGAGAGAGAGAGCATCTATGAGCAAGTTAAGCGCCTCTGTAAAGCTGTAGCATTCTGTGTTTGCACATACCTTAACATTGAGGCGGGTTTATTGAAACCTATAACAAAGGTTCAGTTGTGATTCTGTGGTTTTTCACCTTAGGGTTTAAATTTTCTGCATTGCAAATGTTGTTTGGCCTGTTTTTTTTTTTTCTTCTTTTCTTACCTAGACATTTGTACACACAGTACACATCTGTGAAAAGCACACAGGCTACACATTATCCCCATGTTCTTTAACCAGTTTCACTTTTGACACTGCAGCATTCCGTTATTCTATCTCTGTTTGTGTATTTCCTGGTGATTGCACACAAGATCAGACGCTGTTTCTTTTTTCTGTGTGTTTCGTCAGCCCGGCAGCAAATGAAAAGAAACTTGCCTCAGGCTTTGGAGTAGTTCTGCTATGAGTAAAGTGCATGTTCTCTGTCTGTGTTTTAAAGGGAAACTAGCTTTAGAGAGAGGGAGGAAGTTGCAATGGAGAACAACATGGAGTGGTTAAAAACTCTCCTCCTCATTAGCCCCTGTGAGAGGCACAGGGAGAAAAAGAGAGTGAGAAAGAAAGGGATAGGCTAAAGCGATTTGCTTCCAGGAACAGCCCTCAGTCTTTTTGTAGCCTCTGTCAGAGCACATTCACACGCTCTCTTGCTACTCTTGTGTGTGCCTTGTTGCCTCCTCCCATCTTCTGGTTTGCTAGTCATTTCCTCCTGCTTGTTGAAGTGTGTGTGTGTGTATGTGTGTATTTAAGATTGTTGTATCATCATGGAAGAGGACTTCTTTTGAACATGTCGGGACAGGTAACATTTATACAGATCATATCACTACATGTCTCCACTATGTGTATACTTCAATTTAGCATGCGCTCGCTGTCTCTCTTCCCCCTCCTCACTCTGCTCTGTGTTAGTGTTTAAAACAAGGAAATCTTTTTGTCTTGTTGTGCTCATGTTTTCTGCTGTGCTGTTGCTGTGCTACCCCAATTTTGTTTTGTTTGTTAGTCAGACTTCTTTTGGGTTTACATGAATTTGTTTTACCTTCACCGCAGGGAAGCAGTTTAAAGCTTTAATGATCCTCAGTAAGACCAGATATCCTGCTTTGTCCTGAGGCTATGTATGTTTAAGGAACTGTCAGTGGCACCAATGTATTACGATGTGTCTGCCAAGTTTACAACAAATGTAAGATGGGATTTTTCGAAGGCATTCCTGCCGTGAAGTTCTAGTGCTGTGTTCTCAGCCAGACTGTTTTCTAGTATGAAAAATTACACACGTTTTTTTTGTCGTGAAAGTTCTGAATTATATACACATTATGTGTGAAAGGAAAGATTAGTTCACTTGGCAGCATGTGGTAAAATGCTTCCCATTTGTCAACACCATCTTTAAAGGGTGACTTAGCTATTGTCAGGTGAACAACTCTGAATTGCCAGAAAGACTTTACATGCACACCGTGTGGGAGGAGAAAGGAACAGTCATTGTTTCTTCAGCCTGCTGTCATCTTTTTCTTAGCAGAGACCCAGTTAAATATAGCATTGAGCTAGCAGACCCCTCTCAGCACTCTTCCTCTGAGAAAAAGGAGGAACTGTGTCAACAGGGCAGTTTCCCGTCATTGTTTTTTTGTGTATCATTTTCTGTTTTTTTAATTAAAGAAAACAAGTGAATAGCTTTTATATTTAGTGTCAAGTTTAAATTAGGGTTAGGTTTATTACTGCATAAGCTTCTTTCTTGTGTTGGAACCCAAGTGCACAAATAAGCATTGTAATTGTTCACAGGAACTGCCTCCTATCACTTTGATAAATTTAGATGGTAAATCTATAAATAGTTTGGGTTCTGTTTGTTTGTTTGTTTTTTTAGCTTGGTAGCTAATGCAGACATGGTATTATCAACGTAAAATCTCACATTTTATAACACTAATCAGTTCTGTTTCTGTGTTTGTTCAGCCCAGAAAATTTGATTGTTTGACTGTTTTTGGCAAGATATCAAATGTGAGTTGTGGCTGACTCACTGCCTGTAACTACTTTGAATTGACTCTGTAAAGTAAATTGGACATGAACTATTTTGTGACTATTTAAAGTTTTCGTAGCTGTGGTTTGAAAGAAGCCTATAACTGTATTTTTATGAAACGCGCTCACTGCGCTCGGCCAACAAAAGCCGCCTGATACAACCACCACAACAGTGCCTAAGGTTGATAGCTAGACTCCTCTCCTCTGTAGTTTCCTGGTGGTGGACTGAGCTGCCAAACTCTGTTCGATCTGCAGAGTCCCTCTCAGTCTTTAAGAAAAGACTAAAGACCCAGCTCATCACTGAGCCCCTCTGCACTTGACAGACTGGGAAAAAGAACAAAAAACAAAACTAGCAAAAAAACATTTGAACACACTTGTTCTATGGCACTTATGCAGGTTGTTTTCTCCTGACTAGGTCCTTGCTTGTGTTGTATCTGTTGTCAGATGTACGTTGCTTTGGATAGAACCATCTGCCAAATGAAACTGTAGAATTGTATGAATATTACTTGGCTCAGGTTTGGTACGAATAATTGTTTGCAAACTTGTTTTGTCTCAAACTCTTTGGTATAATACGTGACTAAGACCTCTGTTCCCATGAAGTGTAAAAAAAACTATTATTGTGACTGTTATGAGAAGGAAATGTGCAAAAGAGGGAGGAATAAAGAGGAACTTTCACAATACTGGATGGATAAAATCAGACTCATGTGCTCACTCCTGAGTTTCCCGTACGTAAGGAAATAGTGTTCATTCTCCGTTTACCATTGTATGAATGAATGATTTCCCAATATTTGGTTTTATGTTTCTGTATGACTAACCCTAAGACCAGCAGAAAGAATAATGAAATAGTAGCAAAAGTTAAAAAAGAAAACCTTGAATAGTATGTGGCCTTAGCAATAACCAAACCAATAACCATGCAGGAGACGTTTTTTTCACCAAATATGTACATGTTCTTAAGGGTCTGTGATTATGGGCCATTCTCCTCAGGTTTATAACCACATTAACAAGGATCCTGTTTGTTTTGCATGCACGGATAGTGTGAATGAGTTTCGTGAACTGTGGTAGTGTCTGATGAAATATGTACAATATCCCTTAATGTCAGGCCTACTGGCACAAAATCAACTCACAGTTTCGGCTACTATATATAGATGGGCAACAAATTAAAGAAAAAAAAAAGAACATGACGGGTAGAAAGCATTGAGCCGCCATATGCTTCCAGAACCGCTTCAATGTGTCTTGGCTGGATGAGACCACTCCCATCAGGATAGAAATGTTTCATCAGAAAATACATTTGTCACCTGTTTGTATGTATTCAGTTAAAAGGAGGAAGTAAAATATGCTTAGGTGTTGTTGACAAGTAAGGGTAAGATGTAAGTGACTGTGCATGAGCTCAAGATGCTAAGTCATGGGCATTCGTGGTAATACAGCCGTTGCACTGGACTCTCTTTGTGAAGTGAGTGTAGGTGAAGTTGCAGTTACAAAGAGGCAAAAGTAGTTCCCCTTGCAGGGCATCTAGGTGCACTTTAATGGATGGAGTTACCAGTCATTTGTACAGAAAGGGAGATCGCTGTGACAGCAGCATTAGGAACCAATCCCTGTGGAGGAATTTTGAGCATGCTGAACTAGGAGACTCTTGCATAGACCCAGAATTACTTGAATGGATTATACATCCAGTGCAGCTTAGCAACACCTCAAGACCCCTAAGAAAAAAATGTGACAAAATAGCAAGGGAGAAGTATTGTAAGATCTGTAAGCTGCTATCACCACCACAACCCTCCCTAAACAGGTGACAGAAAAGTGTCCCTATGTGCACATACAGTATGAGATGTATATATTTGCTTGTCAGTCTCCTCACAAGGGATCTGTCAGTATAAGATTGTCATGCTGTGATTATTGTGGCATAAACAGTATCATAATAACATCCAGCATACTTTCCTGAAATATATATAATAAAATTACTTCAGGCTGTTTTAAGCTCATGTGAGTGCACTTGGTTGTCTGTCTCTAAGTGTAGCCCTGTGATAGATTGGTGACCTGTCCAGGGTGTCCCCTGCCTTCGCCCTAAGTCAGCTGGGATAGACTCCAGCCCCCCCGCGACCCTAGTGAGGATTAAGCGGTGTATAGATAATGGATGGATGGATGTTTGAAGCTTGCATTTAATTAAACCTAACAAACTTTGAACTGTATTTTTGCAGTCTTGATGAAATAACATCAAATGCACACAAAAAAATTATTTACTACACACAGATGATAGCTCTTCAAGCAACTAGTATAACCCACCTATGTATTATTACTAGCTAATACCACAACCACAGTAGAAGCTGATTCATAAACTAACCTATAAACCCATAAACGAACCACACTAACATAGGATTTACCTAGCAAGTGATGGCTGGAGTTAATAAAGACAGACAGAAAAAGAGCCCGTTTTTCTGCTTCTGCTGTGACTGCTGTCAGACTGACAAAGAGGTGTTGCCTTGTGGCTAATTAAAATAAAATTGCTGCTAAAGACAAGAGAGCTGTGACATGTACATAGGGCCTTCAGAAACTGTCACTAACCACAGCAGTGATAAAACTGTCCACACTTAATGTTCCTGTCAGCATCAGATTCTTTGCCTATTGTGTATTGTCGTTCTAGTATATTGGCACACCATAATTGTGTGTGTTTGTGCATGGGTTTTGTGGGATCCACAGGTATGCTGTATTTACATGGAGAGGATATCTTGCAGCTAGGGCAGGTTCAGACTTGCTGTGTAAACTAGAAGTAGAGAACGAAAACTAGACAATCAGGTGAGCTGAGCGACACAAGTTTGCCACAATCAGTTCTAGTAACACTGAAGAAAACTTGGGCTTCACAGTAGCAGTCAGTAATTTGTATAATTCGTACCAAATCAGTTTACCAGAGTGGTTGTTTTTTTGTTTGTTTTTTTTTGATCATGGAGTTCTGTGAGAGCTGTGACTTTTGACCATACGCTCTGCACTACTTTGCTGCCTGCAACCAGACTGTATTCATAGTTGTTGCTTGGGGTCAAACCTCAAATGTAGTCATCTTTATAGCCGCAATGGACTGAGGAAAGAGTGACTGAGGGGGTGTCAAAAGCAGAACACCTTCCTATCCGACAGAAGATGTATAGAATCGGCCGCCTGTGTGGAATTTTTGCTCGCTCTGAAATTAGCATGGTATCTGAAGACTCATCTCCTCCTCTCCAAACCTGTGCTGATTTGTCCTTGTCTCCCAGCCCATCTCCCACCAAGGCACGCACTGATGAGACACAGAAAGACCAAACCCCACAGATCCCACCTCGCATCAGGACACCCCAAACGCAAGAAAATCCACAACAGTTCACTCAACCTGAAACACAGCCGGAGCTGCCTGCTAGGAGGATCCCTCAGCCTCCCCGTGAAAGCAGTAAGTAGTATAATCAGCAATTTATGCAATATTTAGACTGCAATGGATGAAAAACAAGGTTTAGAGGCTGGATTTGTTGCATTGATATGGATTTTTATTTGAGGTCTACAGAAGGTTTGTCTGCATAAAACTCTTATTTTTACTTTCCTCTTTCAAAGAACTTCAGGTTGAAATTTACTGAGCCTAAATTTCTTCATGTGGAAATGGGTACTACCATGCAGCTAGGAATCACACTTTTACACATGCTACTGAGAGGGGTCTCCTTTAGTTACCAGTTAATGCAGATTTAATTCAGACTAGCCTGCCTCCGCTTAGGCTAATTTTTAGGCTCAGCCCCACTTTAGGCTTATCCACTGACACAGTCTGCCCCATACATCAAAACTGAACAACAAACACCCACTCAACCTGCTGCACATGTGATATTTAACATTTGGGCTGCAGTTATTTAGCTAATATGTGGAGCTCAGTTTTAAATCTAAATTATTTGCATAGTATTTCATTCAACATTTGTGCTTCTAAATAAATTTCCTTGCTTTCAGAGACTTTTACTGGAGGACCAGTAAGTAGAAAAAGTAGTAGTTATGCTATAATTATGCTATTATGTCTCTTTACTACTTATTGTCTTAGGTCTGTGTTTTAATTTTATGGATGTGGATTTAGAACCAGGTTTTCTGAGTTGGTGTTTTGCAACAGGTAGGACACTTTTTAGGCTTACTTCAGTCCAGCTTTTCACAATAAGCTTTTATAGATAAACAGTCATGTGATATACTTCTAGTCATCTCGTTTCTTCGCACATTACTACCGCTGACTTCAAATTACAGTAACAAAAGCAGAAAATAGCATCCTTCCAGTTCATGCGTGCTGTCATATGCTTCCTGGTAGCTAGAAAATTGTTCAGGGCCCGGCTCAACAAAACATTGCTGTACACAGGTAATGTAGGTCAAATACTTTCCTTTAAATGTGGTACTTTCCACCCACAGTAGATTTCTAGCAAGACTACACACTTGTTAAAGATTTTTCTGTTTATTTCCAGTCTTATGTATTAGTTTTGTAGTATTTGCTTCTACATGTAAAGACATATTTCACACAATTAGTGTTACTTTGTGTACAGTTTTATCATCATTCACTCGCTTTCTTGTGTTTATAAATTTACAGATAGTCTCCCAGAAAGGAAGACTTTTTTTTTTCTATCACTGTGAAAATAATCTTTGATACATTTTTATTTAAATCACTGTTACCACTGTGACATACCACACTGAGACAAAGACTAAAATCACACCTATCTAACCCCACCTCCCCTATCCTGGACTGCTTTAAAAAATGATTGGCATTGGGTCAAGACCTTAAGGTTTGTATTTGTACTTGGTCCAGGAACAAAGTCAAAAGGGTGCAAGTTGATAGACCAGTTATTGCAAAAATAAAAAGACAAATTAATCTGATAAACATGAGTTGTGACTCAGTTTTTTAGGTAAAGACTTACAGCAACTGTCACAAATTTGTCTACACCTTTCAATATATTTATACCTCAATATTTTCACCAGGACATTTGTTTAATGTCATATTTTTGCACAAACATTCCAGTGATTAACAAAGCATTTGTTTGAAGTATTTTTTCAGCTATTTGCAAAGACTGGGTTCCTGTACTTAATAGAAACAGCCTTTAGTCAAAGTTTGCCTCTGTTCACAGTAGCTTTCTCACCTAAAGGTGACTCTGTCAACTTCATATTGTTTAACCTGTCCTGCATGCAAGAGGGAATAAGACTCAGCTTAATATTTGCTATTACTGCAACGCTCAACCTGAAAAACTAGTTTAAAGAGGGAGTGAGAGCGATGCTTAGTCTTGCCACACAAAGAAACTGGTATATTCCCAGTAACACTCTTGACTGTCTGTGACATTCAGTTTGTGTGTGTTTACAAACATAGAATAACACAGCTAAAGCTTACACTAACCCAGGCCCATATAACTCATTGTTATTACAATGGTTCACTTCTTGCCAAGCAAGTTTTTCTGTATTTCTCTGACATGCTGCTATTACAGTAACCCAGTGAGAAAATGTGTCAGCTTCAAACTGGGTAGTTCCTGCCAATTTACTTATCAGAATTATATTTGATGACTTGCTTCTTAATTGAAAACCTTTAAAGTTAAATCAAACATTTCTTTGTCTATCGTGTGTACAGGAAGTGCAGACCAATAGTATTACTGCTGTTCCAAATAGAAAAGGGAAGTCAGTCAGTTATCCATAAGTTGAAAGGTATTTTACTAGGTCATTGTGTTACCAGCAAGGAAATTTGTCTCTGCATCTCACTGAAAACTGGAATCTGATTGCTGATATCTAACGCATCTTGTTTTTATATAATAAAGTCAAAATTTATACTAGAAATAAACTGTATTTTCTCTTTTCTTGATAGGACACTATTTTTTTTTTTATATGTTTCCCTGCAAACGAGACTTAAACTGTTGGACTAATAGTGTACAACTCCATCTGCTTCATCTCCTGCATCCTCTCACAGGGTTAGATTCGGTCGATGATAATTCTGATGACTACGAGGATCCTGACTTGCTCTACTCCAGTGTTCAGCGAATGAACACACCAGACAGGGTAAGACTGTGCAGAGTCAGTGGGAGTGTTTTTTTCTATTATGCGCTGATTCCCCTTCACCTGCCGTACCGTGAGAATGACAGTTGTCTCCTCCAAAAGGATATGTCGCTGCCACTGCCTGGTCGGCCAAAGAGGCGGTACAATTCCTTGTGCAGTGATGATGAGATGTTGGACGATGATGAGTGAGTCATGCAACACACAGAATACACAAACACAAACCTACCATTTACACAAACACAGATATGCGCATGTAGGCTGGATAGTCGAAACAAACAATAGCTAACTTGCGTATGCACTCAAATTGCTCTCATGCTTTCTTTGCCCAATGAATATTTTAGTTTAAAAAAAAAACAGGCCAATGTGCTGGTCTTAAAATGCACTGTGTTCTTGAATAGTCAGTGCTGTACAGCTCTGTAAATGTAATCTTAGACAATCTTAAACTTTGTGGTCGGGCAAAGCTGTTGAATGTGATTATGAATGTGTGGGAGAGCTTTCAATGGTTAGAAAAAGTGAATTGAGAAAGGTTTCATCACATGGCGTAATGCAGTACGTACAACAATGCTACTTGCTCTTTTGGGAATACAGCATGTATTTCATGCTCAAATGATTAAATCTTCATGTGTATGTTACTGCTATTTCCGGATTTCTGGAAAAGGTTGTTATAGCAGCTCATATCAAGACTTTGTAGCTATTTTTGGCTTTTATTTTGAATAAATAACATTTACAAGACAGGACTGACTTAAATTTTAAACAAGTAGTTTTTACGTGTTTATACTTTGAGCATGACTTGTTGAAGTAAACATTATTCAGTAAGTGTGTATGTATTTGTATGACCATGTCTATGTGTATCCAAAGTTCCATCCTATGGCCGGATCCCAACCGTAGCAGCCTGCAAGGCAGTGTCTACTTGCCAGGGACTACCAAACTGGCTTCAGCCAGTGCAGAAGACAGCTCTCAGCTCTCTGCTGTCATCAAGATGGGCTGGCTGGACAAGAATCCACCGCAAGGGTATAAATGACAACACATACACACACAAGCTGCAGTTCTGCTAAAAAAAGATGATGAACTGATTTATAGACTTACCGTGGAGCATGAAGCCTTCAAAAATAATAATAATTTTCAAAAATGCTTGTGTTCCTTCACTCTTCCTTGTACACAGGGCTCTTTATTACCAGAGACGCTGGGTGAAGCTAGATGTTGACTATCTGAGATACTTTGACAATGACAAGGTGAGAACACACACATGCAGTAACTCCATCACAACATGTTTCTCATACACGCACACAGTCTCCATACTGAGTGGTGGACATGGATCTATTTAACAGAGTGATTGTTTGTTGCTGTGTATGTGGTGTGTTGTAGGAGGTGTATTCTAAGGGGATCATCTCAACAGCATTTATCACTGATGTGACCAGCGTGGGGGAGCTGAAATTTGAAGTTGTCACAAACAACCGGACCTTCATCTTCAGGGCTGAAAGTGAAGGTCTATTGTTTTTGTCTGAATATATACACTTACACACCTAAAGAATAATATATTATGTGTCCCTATTTGTTATGTATAATGTGCACATCTGAAATATGCTGTTATCTTGGTTCATATACATTTCTTCATGCATAATTTCCTTAACACATGCCTATTTATGCATATTTGCATTTCCATTCCAGCGGACAGAAACAGCTGGGTGACTGTACTGCAGGACTGCACCAGGGGGCGCCATCGGCGCAGTACCATGAATCCTGGTTCCCCACTGGCCCCAGACTATCAGGGCTATCTGGAGCTGAGAGGCTTACGCTCTAAACTGTATACTGTTGTTGCCTTAGATAAAGTATTCCTCTACAAAAATGTCGACGTAAGAACCCTCAGTTTATGAATGCAGAGTGTATAATGTTGTCTTTATTTTGCAAAATACTATACAGACAAAATCTGAGTATTAATGATCAAGTCTTATCCTTTTTAAACTGAAATAGTAGCGTTATGTTGAATCATTAAAATGCGTCTGCTGATCCATGACCAAAGAAAAACACAGAAAAACATTGTAAAATGATTTACCATTGTCTTTTTTTCCTTTTTCTTCCAGGACTATCGCATTGGTATCGGTATCACATCCATTGAGATGAATGTAGGAAATGTTAAAGACACAGAGCGTCGTAGCTTTGATCTCACCACACCTTATCGCATCTTCAGGTATTGTATCCACATACAAATATAACACACACACACACACACACACACTTACAGACTCTGTCTCTGCCATGTGTATACAGGCAGAACAATGTGCATTGTGTAGGTATCTCCCACAAGCATCTTGTGCATAGACTCCCCATTACTTTAGTTATTTCAGCAATTCAGCAGTTGGGTTTATATTTTCCCAAACTTGTTTCATTTGCTAAAATAATTCTTCATTGTAAGTCAATGACGGAGTTGGTCATGGTGCTAGGATACTTAGAGAAATTAGATCATGTTGTTTTACTGAGAACTTGGCCCGTCTATCCTCAGAGTCCTCAGCTGGATGTCTTTTGAGAATGTGAAAAGCTGTTTTGTTTGACTGTGCTTGTATGTGTGTTTGTGTGACGAAGAGAGGGGGCTGTGTGCATGTGCACAAATGCATGTGTTGTGTGGTGTGTGGTCTTTTGGCTGACAGTTCACAGCCTGCAGTGCAAGGACTCAGCTTGACAGGATGGGGAAATATGAAAAGGCTTGTGTATTTCTGTGGACTGCTTGATGTGTGAGTGTTTTCACTCTCTATGTCTCTGCCTGTGTAGTTTTGATGTGTTGTGAATTTACAGTGGGTTCTCAAAAGTCTCTGACCACATTGAAAATCTGCCATTTTCATGTAAACTTGGAAATAGTCAGGAAGTTTCAGGACTTAAAAATATTTGGAAACGCAAGAAGTTGTGACAGCCAAATTAAAGAAAAAAATATGTAAGATTCTTCACCACCTCTACGTAAACAAGTTTTCATTTTGGCACATATCAGAAAACCAATCTAATATACCTGTGATTTGCCAATATCAGCTAATAATATAAGCTAATCGATGTATCAGTCCGGCTTTTATTGATCATTTTCCTCTATACAGGTTTTGCCCTTTGTTTTCTTACTGTTGACCTGTTGTGAATATGGCTGTATTTCAGGTTTCCAGCAGAACAGTGTTTGCTACCTAGCACTGTTATAATTGCAAACATGGCACCAGAACTATAGGGAAATCAAATAGTTTTGTTTTTTGTTTTTTTTTACCCAAATATAGGCTTTCTCAGTGTCAAATAATGACTCAGAGAAAGTCTTCCTGTCCTAAAATATGGCTGTAAGAACCAACAGTTTGTGAATGCAGAGCTAACTTCAAAAATCAAATACTTCAAATAAATGTGTATTTTGTTGTCATTAAGGATTTCTAAAGTGGTAGTGGTAGGATGATAGCTAAAATGCTATGCTGTAACAGGATCAGTTGTATTAAACCAAAAGTAAACACACTATCAGAAGATGAATACATCAAGCTTTGTGTTGAGAGAGACAGAATTTGCTATGTAAAGAACAGAAGACTAAAAACCGGCAAAAGTCCTGTCAGAGAAGGCTATCTGCTCATGATCTCTGAGGACAAGTAGCAGCCTCTACAACACTTCTCAAGAGGGGAAACCAGGACAAACCCTTGGGGTGGGCTAAGACATAGCAGCATTTCACAGTGGATGTCTGAGAAAAGGTCCTATTTACTGATGAATCACATTTTGAGATCAATGGCAGTCACAGCAGGGTGTTTGTTGGAAGAACAGGAGAGAGAATGACTGCTGCTGCTTCTGGATTTGGAAACCTGCACCATGTGGCCTTCACTCTGACCAAGTGGGACATGCTATACTGTCTGCTTTGCATCTCCTATGAAAATACTGTGACATGATAATGACTGTTGTGAACTTACCTCCACAGTCACCTTACCTAAAACCTATTGCAGATTTATGGGGGTGCTTGAAGACTACGAAAGCAAAGCATTTTTGACATGACCACAAGCTATTAGGAACATTTTCAAATTATGCCTGGGTAGCCGGAGTTATCAGTCCATGCAGCTTGAGTGCTGCTGTTATCAAATGAAAAACGGGGCCAAGAAATACCAAGATCCTCTGAAATTAATGTGCATTTTTCAGAGATTCAACTTTTCTTGATAGCTGTTTAGCCAATATTATCATTTGTAATAAAAAATGTTGTATTCAATTGAAAAGTTGTTCAAAATAGACACTTCTTCACTCAACTTTTCTATTCCACTGTACATTAGAAGCTATTTCCGGAAGGAGATGTAGACTGTATTTTGTCTGTAAATTGAATGTGAGTGTGAATTTACACACAGGAAACTCTAACACTTTGTAGTCATTTGACAAGTGTGCTTATGTGTGTTACTATTTTAAGGGCTGATAGAAACAGAATGTTACCAGACGGATGAGAAGAGGAAGGACTCAGGCATGAGAGTCTGCGTCAAGCCACAAATCTGTGTGTGTGTGTGTGCGCGCGTCGAGTTTGTGTTGTTTCCAGCTTTTTTTTTCAAGTATATTTAGCAAAACAAGAGCAGAGTAAGAGTCAGTGTCTAGTGCGCTGCTTGGCACAAGGACGCAGACATAGCTAGTACTGTCACTTCGTTGACTGTGACACCACCATGTCAGCTTTAACACCTGGCAATGTGTTTGTCTATCTCCGCAGTTTCATAGCAGAGTCAGAGCAGCTCAAAGACCAGTGGGTGAACGCCATGCGCAACGCCATAGGTGAGGCGTTGTCCAATAGCGAGGTGGCCGAGAGGATCTGGGCGGAGCCTGGTAACAGTTTGTGTGCCGACTGCGGGGCTCCCAAACCGGAATGGGCAGCCATCAATTTGTGTGTGGTGGTCTGCAAACGATGTGCAGGTTTGTATGAGTGCGTTTGGATTTGTGTGCGTTTCTGTTTAAATGTGTTATTTTTCTGCACATCTTTGTTTATTAACTTGTTGTTGTGAATACCTTTAACATCGTTATCTTGTTTTTGAGTGTCTACAGGTTCAAATGTCTTAAAAATGTGTTTTGAATTATAGAGGGGATATTTCTTCTTTTTTTTTTTCTGCGTGTTGCAAATGTAGCACTACTGATAAAATCCAGCTATCACTTAGCCTGATTTAGGTCGTATGGTATAAATGGTTATTGCCAACCTGTTGTATAAGTAGTGTTACATGGTTAGGGTTTGATGTATCATCAAGACTTATTTGTTTGTCTGTGTGTGTTTCAGGAGAGCACAGAGGACTGGGCCCTAGCATTTCAAAAGTTCGGAGTCTTAAGATGGACAGGAAAGTCTGGACAGAGGAGCTTATTCAGGTACACATACACACATGCACATCAAAAATGTACCCAAAGATATTTTAGTATGGAATAGAAGACCATACAATATTTTGCAAAAATGTAAAATGTTGCAGCTGGAATTTTTGCCCAACAGGGACATGAATTTATGGCCGATTAACTTAGATTTTGTTGCTTAAACCCTGACAGAGGTGGAGAATAATTTAAACAATGGTACCATTTAATTCTAAAGACTTTTATAAGGTAACACAATGACCCTGCGGCTAATTTTTGTGAAGCGTAGAATGTCAAGTTTTTGTTGAGCGGTTTGGATTAAGCCCTGTGACTTTTTCTGAGGCAGACATTAGTAGTGATGTTGGAATGGGCTGCATTACATTGATTAATTTAAGTAAGGGTGCAAAACATTATTAACTTGTTCCAAATAAATATGAAGGGATAAATAATCCAAAAAATGCATAATGTACAGTGAAGACGTAGAACCTCTGCACAAGTGCTTTCTCCCTACTTAATGTTGAAACATTTTTCTAACCTGTGCTGCAGGTGTTCCTGTTGATAGGCAACGAGCGAGTGAACAGTTTCTGGGCAGCTAATGTCCCGCCAAGTGAAGCCTTAACTCCCTCTAGCTGTAGCGAAGACAGACGGCGCTTCATCACCAACAAATACCGCCAGGGCAAATACAGGAAATACCACCCTCTGTATGGAAACCAGAGAGAGCTCAATAATGTAAGTTGAAGTCGCTGTTTGGATCATTTGCTTTTGTCTAAGTTACTGTCATGATTAGATTTGGATCTGTTGACTGTATTTTATGTGGGTATAGACATTTAGTATTCAAGACTACACTGGAAAGTTAGTCAACATATTTTGGAAAAGGCCTTTTGTATAGTGGTTAGACTTAGGAGATTGTTGATTTATCATTCGCGATGACAAAATTGTCTTTTTAACCCATTACTCTGACTGCTTTCATTCATTTGCCTTCTGAAACCAAGTGCAGTTGAGCAGAGCACTAACTGTTATGTTTCTTTAGCTTAGTTCCTCCAGTAATTTTTTTTCAGAAGTTGTGTGCGTGTGTCGCATAGGTCACAATCTTAGTTGTGACTGGATTTTACATGTGCATGCTTTTACACACCATACAGTTCTGTCTGCACGCTCACTATTCCGACCATGACTAAGATTCCATTGATTATTTCTGTACTGATATACTTACTCAGACTGACTGATTTCCCTAAAAGTGCAGAAACGAGTCAGGTCCTTGGTTTATATACATGTTTGCGAGCATAAAATTTTGCTAATGGAAAACTTTTTATCTGTTCCATGTTTTTTAAGGACATTAGAAAGCATTTGGCATGCTCTTCTTTGAAGTCGGAAATAACAAGTACATTGTCTCACAACTCCTCAGTGACTGACAATAAAGTAGCCACTCTACAGTTAACTCTTTCAATGATTAGCTTTTTTCGTCCTCTCCCAGCTGGTTGATTCAGGCGAGCTACATTTAACACATTGGCTCAAAATAGGGCATTAAAGGGCTCTATTTGAACTAAGTGCAGTTAAAGTGAAAGACATGTTCCTAGATTGCAAAAACTAGATGAATCTCTGATTAAGTCTCACAGCACAGATTGCTAATTGCCATAATTTTAAGAACCACAGTCACAGTAAATTAAAAATAGACAAACTAACTCCTGTGAATTCCTAGCGAGTCTTTTGTCACACCTTAAAAGCTCAGTGGAGACATAGCATTGTAATTCAAAAATTACTTTAGACAACAACTCTCTCAAAATTAAAAACCTGGATCTCTGCCTTTGTGTCCTAATCAGTGATAGAACTTATTCCCCGTGCCCTCTTAAGAACGATACATTTGGTCAGTGTACGCCAGAAGTGGGACATTTGTGAACAGCCTGGGAATGTCCTGGGTTGAGGCTTTTATATTGTGCCCTTTCAGTGATCCATGCAGTTTGGTGAATGTCTGAGTGTTTCAGACTCTGCTGGGTCACTCATGAGCTGCTTAACCCACTTACCGCAAACAATGTGTACAGCTCACAGACACACTGAGTGTGTGAGTAAGGCATATTTAGCACCTGACTGTGAGTTATATTTTTCCCCCTCAAGCATTCATGCTTTTCAGTCCGTGTACATGAGTGTGTGTGAGTCACTGTGTTTTGGATGTGCAGAGAGAGATAAAAGAAGTTTTCTAGTTTTAAAAAAAATGCTTTTGTTCAGCTGCTCATCCTCTTCCATGATGGGTATCCTTTTTTCCCCTTGATACTACATCTCCCTGCTGCTCTTTCAGGCTGTCTCTAGAGAAGGTGATTTCTCTGATTGCTGCTCTACCTGTTTTTCAGTGTTACCATTCAAAATACTTGAAGTTCTTCAGCTTTGCTTTGCTACTGTGTTTTGTTACTGGGTGTGTCTTACGAAATAGTAAACTCTGCAAATGTGTTTGTTCCAACTATGCAGCTGTGTGGCAAGATGTTGACAATCAAGAAGAGTGTGTCAAAGAAACAGAAAAATACTTACTTTTTGTACCATATGAGCACTCGAGTGCTTTGGGCTTTATTCATGTTTTTAGATTTAATCCTGGCTTTTTATCCTCACTTCTCTGTTTCCTTTCTTCTTTGTTTTTCCTTTTTTTCTGAATGTGACATCATTACTCACTGATTTAACTGGAATGTGCTGTAACTCCGCCTCTCTCTCCCCTCCTCCTCCTCCCGTCCACCTCATTGTTTGACTGGGACTGCTGAAGAAAGTTGATCTCTTCTCTGCTAGCTCTTTTTTTCCTATTTGTAAGTTGCTAGTGTTGTAAACTTTCTGTCTGACTACACCTTCACAAGAAAGGTGTTTTTACATGTGCAACTTTGTGTGCCCGTCTTTGTCGACTGACATTCAAACAGAGGAGTGATTTAAAGGAACTGAAAACTTCCAGGTAAGTGAGCTGCAGGAGAGGTTAGTGAAAATATGTGGAGTGTTTTTGTAGGCTAGCTCTGTTAAGAATGTGAGTGTGACTCTGTGTTTTAAAGGGAGTCGGTCAGAGCGAGTATAGAAATGTGTGTCACTTGACTTTGGATCTCTGACATTGTGTGATCTCAGTGCAATTAAACATACTTGAATGTGATTATGTAGCATAGTTCTGCCATGAGACTATAAGGGCTGCTCTATGTTTTGCACATTAGAGTTATTGTGAGTCTGTATGTTTTTCACTGGCGTGGGCTGAGATATGTTATCATGCATATTAATGTGCTTGTGTAGGCATGTTTGTGTGCCTTTTGTACTGTGTGTGTGTGTGTGTGTGTGTGTGTGTCTGTGTGTGTGTCTCCATGTGTTCAACTCGATAACAAGCTCACCTCTGTCAGTGGGCATCATTGTTTCTCTACCCCTCTCACTCTGTCTTGATTGCCCCTTTCTCCCTTTGTTCTGTCTTTTCTTTTGTACTACAGTTGTGAACTTCACAACTATCAGTTCCACAGTTTTTCATTTATTAACTGGGCGTCTTTATTGATCTAGCAGAACACAGTGTGCAAGTGTTTCTAAAAACTATTGACAATGTTTTTGAGCATGCAAAATCCCACATGTTGTACGCAAACTCTACTACTTTGTTTTTTTAGGTGACATATACTGTATTTTTGCCACCAGCATGTTGAGAATAAAATGACAGCCGTAACTACGTGTGTGTCTCCCTCCATGGTGTGTTATTGTGTAATGCTGTTTTTTTTAAGCTTTTGCCAAGAGCCTTTCGATTGACATACCAAAATGCTTTAAATGCTTTGGTGTTCCGGGTTTCGTCTGTTTGTTTGTGAGAGAGCAAAGAAGTGAGAAAGCGTAATAGATGTTTGCCAGTAAAATGTATAATATGCCACTTTTTTATTTGCCAGAGAGAGGTGCTGGCAGTTTAAGAGTGTCTCAGCATGTGTGCCAAGTTTGAGTTAGGGCTGTTATTACAAGTAAGACTCTTGTTATTGTGGATTTTATTTGCTTTTGACAAAATACATAATCTGTTTTTGTTTTTTTTTAGTTATTTTAAAAGATTGTTAAAATAGCCTTTCTTTACTCAGATCTAATCCAAGTCTTGAGTTGGAATAGGTTGACTGTGTGCTGGTAAGAGTCAACATGATATTGGTACTTATTATAGCAAATTGACCGCTAACAGGCAGTCGTAAAATCTCTTCATGGGCTTGTTTTTGTACTTTTATAGTTTTGGAAAGTGGCTTCCATAGAGGAAAAACGCCATCTGTCTTAGAGTCTCTTTCCTCTTATTCCCTGCTGCTGCTCATTCTTTTGTCTTATACTTCTTCTTTTTTTCCAACTGAGTCCCCTCATTTCCTCATTCACGCTGTAGGATTTTAGGTGATGAATCCTTTTCATTTCTACAGGGAGATCTGCTTGAGATGGGATCTGCTTTCCTATTTATTTTCCAGTGCTTTCCTCCCCCCTCCCCCCCTTTTTTTGTATCTCTAACTCTGTGTTTTTCCTCCGTTTCTCATTCATTCTTTTTTCCTCCCCTCCATCATCCGTCTGGATTTTTACCTCCACCTCACTCTCCATCTCCCTCTTTCTCTAAACTGTCCCTGGTGAGGTAATGACGGAACATATGTGAATAGCTCTTTCTCATCTGGATTTAATATATGAACATACATGAGTGTGGGTGTAGTTCTAGCTGGACGTCCAGTATATACGCTAAAATCTACAAAGCAGAAGTGACCGCATTTGTTTGTGTTTGTGCGCCTGTAAATACATGTAGGTTGAGTTTCTAGCCAAGTGCAATCAGTCTCTGATTATTGTGCCTAACTGAAATGCTTTCATCTTTTTTTTTCCACAATATTTTTGTTTCTTCTGTGTCTCTCGTCTCTTTCTTTTCCTCCAATTCTGGCCCATATAACAGCAGAGGCCAGATGGAGGCCTGCGATTTTAGACACACCCAGATAAAATCTCCCTCTGTCTCTTTCTCTCTTTCTCTCTCTGGGGAAACTGGGAAAGATTCTTGAATTCCCTTCCCTTCTCTTCTCTGTGTGAGTGTTATTACATTACTCCCTCTTTCATAGGCAGCAGATGTTGGAGGGTGAGGTTTTCAAACACTCACACAACCCATTTCCTCATTGTGCTTTGTTCTGATTGGTTCAGTGCTCTTGGTCCGAAGGAATTACATTACTGTACACTGACCTACATACAGCCTTTACATGTATGTCCACATGGGGTAGAGGGCTGGTTTTGTTCTGTCAATTTACAATATCATGATGTGGCTTAGCCTGTAGCAGGGTGACAAATAGCCTGCAGTGACTGATCTGAAGTATTGATTTTTTTGGCTTATAGCTTAAGCCAGTACAGCTTGTTGATGGCCAAAATGGGAAAAAAAAAAACAGGTTTTAACAAAATGGGAAACCATCTCTTAGCTCCAGGGATGTAGAGCAGGCTAAACCCATGTTTGCATTTATAGTGTATAGTTTTCTCAATTTTCAAGTTGTATTAAATGTTTATGACATGAATTCACTCCATTATCATGGGGAAAAGGACTTTGGGTGCAGGAAAGTAAATTAATTTACAAATACAAACAAAGATTGGCATAATGCACAAGACCTTCAGTAAATTGTTTTCTTGGTGAAGTCAAACAAAAAGCACAGCATTGTAACGAAGCAGAAGAAAGGGAAGAGAGAAAATGTCAATCACACTCAATCCAGTGATCAGCCCTCAGTTTATCACAGGGTATCCTACTTGTCCACTTTTCCAAGATGGTGCTGTAAGCATACTTCCACTTTTGGATTTTTCCTACTTTTCTTTCAAGCTGTCAATGTCCAAATTGAATTAAATCTTTTGAACTCTCTTGCCTTCATCTGTCTGACTGTTCTGCTCCACTTTAGTCAAACTTGTTTTCCCTATTCAGCCTTGGTCACTAACGATGTTCATTTATTATATCTGCTTCTGTTCCAGAGTTTTATTAGGGAAGGTTGTGCTTTTCCCCCTCTCCCCTACTTTGAAATAACATCTTATCTTCAAGCATTTAAAACTCCAGCTAACGGAAAACCCAGTTATGTTCCTTTATCATGCAAGCATAATGTCACAAATTGGTGTTTAAAAATGTGCTTAATGTTGTGCTCTAAACACAATTTGCTTTTGTAAGGGATTACTCAAGACAAGTAAGTAGTTAACCTTTAATCTGCGGGCCAATGTCTCCATCCTTCTACAGCTTGCCATCACGTGATTCGACATTTAACAGTTCACTGACAGAAAATGTGAAAGTACACATAAAAATGTCATTCCTTATCATTTGCTCTATGTATTTACAAAAAAAATGCTGTCAATTCAGCAGGTTAGTGTAGTCACTGAGATAAGGGCAGTGTGAAATACCATTGATTGCCAAGCACTATATACCAGCTCTGTCGTGGCACTCATGTGATCCATATTATGAGAGTGTTCATGTTGATGTGCTTCTCTCCAGATGGCTGACCGCAGCTTTTTGTTCAGATGTTTTCGATGGTGTGTGAGAGAGCAAAATGCAGTTTGTCTCTGTGTCGTTTGGGCGTGTGTGGTGGTGTCTTGTGCAATTTTAATCTTTGTTAATTGTTTTGTTTGTCTCTATGTGTATGTAGAGGCTCAATGGTGCTTAAACAGAGGAGGGGCTCCGTCTGTATGTGTGACAGAGTGCTGTGGAATTTCTCAATCAGACCCAAAAGAGCTTATTGGTTTTAACAGAAGACAGACTTGTGTGTGTACATTTGCATTTGTCTCAGTTAAGTTCCTTGGGTGTTTCTTTTCTGCTTCCCCCACGTTCTTCTTTCCTTATGTCTTTTTTAAAATTTTATTTTAAAGGTAAAGCAATCCCAGGAGATTACTATAGTTTTATCTTTGGTGTTGTTGTCACTTACATAAGTCATTATTTGTCTTGAACTAGTTGAAAACCAAATTACCTCTAAATGTTGATATTATTCATCCACTTGTAGTAACTAAAGAAGCACTTCTGTGTCCAGTGGGGATTTTCCCACCAAGTCTGTTAGCACTTCCATCTTAACTTAAGTTTTTGGTTGCATGGCTTCATGTTGAACATTCAAATGTAATGGAATGGAATTATTTAGATTACTCAATAGTTTCATCAGTAAAACCCAGAATAACGCTCAGTTACATGACAGTTAATCAATTATAAAATCAATTTAGCAACAACTATGCTGCCAGACATGGAGAGTAGCAAAAGCTTCTCAGTCCAGTTAACTTTAATTTTGTTCTTGGATGGGGATCATTTTATCAGTGCTCTACTAAAATGAGGATTTGTAAAAGTAAACATGACTGAATGACTCCAGCCTGCTTTGTACATGTAGTGGAGTTAGAAACCATTCAACAATTGGCACAAGTCATAAACACCTGGAAACACTATGGTGGTAGTTTTATCATAATAATACCCTCCAGAATCCAATAAATCCCAAAATAATTACTTGAGTTCCTTTATTGACAGTACAGTGTATTTAAAAAAGAAAGAGAAAAAAAAAGAAAAACAACAGCACAGAAGACAATTTGAAAGAGTGTATCAGTGACGGATACCAGGACTAAGCACAGCAGTCAGAAAGCCTGTTATACTGTTGATGGTTCTTCATCAGGAGAGTGGATGCTGCAGGTGAAGTCAGTCTACTCAGACACCTACTGCTCTGTGTGTTTGGGTTGTATCATTTCAGCTGCTTAGTGGAAAATCATCTTAATTGTTTGTTTTGTTTCATTGCACATTTTTACATTTCCCTCTTTGTCTTTTGTACTGGATGAGTGCCCTGCACACGCTCCCTCCTCTTCTCTGTGTTTCCTTGATTCATTCTTCCACTCTTTCTTCCTTGTGTCTTATTTTCATGTCGCACACCCTGATCTCCATTTCCTCTGCTGGCTTTCACAGTATTACGATGGTACTACAAATACCATAAAAGTAGATGTGCCAGTGTTGTAATTGTCTGTCTCTCCTACGGTATGGGGAATGCAGTTTTATGAATATTTCCATGGCACACAAATGACATATTTACATTTGTAGTAATATTTGATTTCAGTTCAATACAAGTGTTCAGCATTCTAATAGCCTGGAGGCTGTTGTTGCTTATCTCAAGAAGCAACACATCATCATCTTCATCTGCTATGTCTGTACATACGCATTTACTTATGTATTTCCTTGTGTTTTTGTTTCCTCCTCTCTTTTCTCTCCAGGCTCTATGTATAAACGTGCAGTGCAGTGATGTGCTGGAGACGTTAAGCCTGATTTTCTGTGGTGCAGATGTGAATTGTTCAACTGGTATGGCAAGTTGTCCTACCCCTCTCTCCCTGGCCAACGCACACTCACAACCTTTGCAGGCGGAGTTAATTAGCCACAATCTCAACACAGGTACAGTATGTGTATACACACAGGGTCACAAAGCACCTTTCGTTTCTAATGATGCTTACATTAGGGTTGAATAGAATCTTAAGAAATTGTTAGTAATAACAACCACAATAAAAAATAAAAAATAAAAATAAATGTATCTACATAGCACTTATCAAAACATAAAGTACTTTACAAGGCAGTCAGAAAAAGGACTGAATAGAATTACACATATGTTACCACTAATAAGTAATTTAAAAAAAAAAAGAATAATAATTAAGCAATATAAGAAAGTCACAAAATGAGCAAATGGGTCTTCACAAGCACCTCTGAAGAAGATAGTAGGTTTGCAAGTCTGAGATCGTCAGTCAGGTCACTCAGTTATAATGGTGCTCCGATAGAAAGCTCTGTCACAACAGCCAGGATGTTCTTGCCTAAGGACCAAGGCTGCACGCAGGTTGATAAAAGGAGAGCAATTTCAGAGATGTAATCTAGGGCCAGCTTGTGAAGTGCTCTAAATGTAATGAGCAGAATCTTATAATATTAATTCTAACTTGCAGTCAGTTTAAAGACTTTAAAAGAGAAGTAATACCATCTTTTTTTTTTTGCTCAGTGTTGCTGCTTTTTAAAATTTGAAGTCTGTGAATTGATTCTTGATTTATTTCAATTTAAAGGCTACCAGGGTACTCAAATTGTCAGGAAGTGAAATCCTGTATGATGGATTAAGTGTCTGTAAAGCTTCAGATTAAATACATTCTGTGTTCCTGAGATGGCAAAATCTTTGCAAATGTGTCTTGAAATTGAGGTAAGAAAACAACCTTATACCAAGGTTGAGCAGGAGGCTTAAAACAGTTATAAAACCAATGTGATAAAAAGATTTTTTAATAATGATGGTGAAACATTGTGACCATTGTAAAGGGGGTTTTTCACTGTGCTGAAGCCCAAAGATCTCTGAACTACCTTACCAGCAACAAACGCATCCCAGGCAGACACAGGTGGTAAAGGTGAAATACTGTCACCAGCAGAGACAAAGAATCTTCTGTTTGACAAGAAAGAGTTGCACCTTCTCAAGACTTTTCCAGATATACCAAACCAAAGCTGGATTTTTTTAGTCTGCTCAATTTATGCTCTGCTCAACTGTGTCGAATGCTGCAGACGGATGCAAAAAAAATGAAGATGGAGCATTCATTTTTGTCCGTAGTCCTTAAAAGATCATTTGTAACCTTAATAAATGCAGTCTTAGTGTTGTGTCACTGTCTAAAGCTTGGCAGGTTTTTCAAAAAATATGTCCATAAAATTCCTTTACAGAAATTGGCCTACGCTGACACAGGTAGACGTCAGTAGGACAAGGGAAATTCCGATTGTATATCTTGATCTTACATTAATCCTGACATTGTAAACTTTAAAAAGTGAAAATGTGTCACTCGAAGCATCACAGCGGCTGGCAGCTTTTGCACAAGAAAAATATTAATTTCTTTGTTTTATTCCTGTAGAGCTGCCACGATCAGAAGTGGGTGAGGCTATGGATCCAGTAAGTTACCAACCTCCACCTTGTGTGTCTCACAATGGCTTCCTGTACAAAACTGCATCCATGGCTCGGGCTGTCACAGAGCGCAAGGCCAAAGAGGGTATGGATGAACACTGCAACACTAACACATATGTAGTCTTCTCCACGTAGCAATAAAGAACGGTAATAAAGGGATACACCGTGTGTTTTTGTAAAGTTACGTAGTCGCGTGTTTCCTATTAGAAACACAATACAATAAACATATGAAATTCCTGTAACATCTCTGTAGATTGTATTTTCATTACTCTGAATATTATGCTTGGTAATATTTATTTGTGGATTCTTACAGAGTTCAGTCGTCGCTGGTGTACGCTAAATGATGGCACCTTCAGCTACTATGAAAGTGACAGAAACTCAAACCCTAACGGAGCTCTAAAGGCTTCAGAGATAGTCTGTTTGGCTGTCGACTCGCCTGAAAGACATGGGTACACACACACACGCTCACACACACACACACACACACACACACTCAGTCACTCATCTCCCTTTCACACACATTTTACTCACTGTCTTTAATATTTATTATTAAAAAATGCAATATAGTTAGGACCAAATACCTTGTTATATTATTCAAACCACAAGTCCTGTCACATGAACACAACTTAATGGTTTATTTCTTTCTTTCCATTCTCTCTTTTTTTTTTTTTTTTTTTTTAATTTGGCCTTTGTCTTATTTCTTCTAACCTCTCTTTCCAACCCCCAGGTATGACTGTACCTTTGAACTCTACTCTGAGTCAGAGCGTCTTTATCTGTTTGGCACAGATGACCCAGACAGCCACAAGCAATGGGTCAAATCTATTGCAAAGGTAACCCACTGAAATATGTATACAACAGTTTTTGGTACTTTCTGATAAGTAAAAGGTTAGCAGTTCCAGTTGTGCTGAGAGGGGACTCCTTTCCAGTGGTCAGAGCAGCACTGGCTATTGCTGACTTGTTTCCCTTATTTTTGTTAAGCACAGCACTCTTTACCCCTGATGCAATTGTCAGCTGCTTGATAGATTGAAATGAAGCAACTATTGCTTTGACCTTTTAGTTTTAACTACTGAATGTCAGTATGCTTTATGGTGTAATAGAATCAGCAACGTTTTTGCCCTCAAAATGTAGTCATTAATTGTAAAAACAATTAGATATGTCAGTGCTATGCCCAAGGTCACCTGGGAAATGGTATGGCCAATGGTGGATTGCCTTTTTCCAGAACTGGCTAAATAAGTACAAATAGCTGCTATTGGCTATTTCTGTTTAACTGAGCATCACAAGGAACATTACTGACAATATAGTAGATGGACAGTGCATTTGTGGCTCCTGAATGTCTCGCCACAAGGACATTAAACAGGTTGCTGTACAGTGACCACGGCACTTACTGCATGTCATCAAAGCAACGTACAAGAATGTTTCAGTTATGCACACAATAAAGTTGGTAAATCATCATCAACTTTGGAGTGTGTATATATTATATTATATTACAAGGTCTAACTTTCTTTGCAGAGCTTTATCCCGGCCTCTGCAGAGCCTTTACTGAGACTGAGTTTTGAGCGGATTGGACGGCTGAAGTGTAAAGATGGCTTGAACCTACAGACGTCCAAGGTTGGTTGGTTTGCCCTGGTGGGCTCTACACTTCACGCCTATGTGGAGGACAGCAAGGGCGAGGAGATCCACCTCCGCAAACTCAACGAACTCTGTGAGTGAGACATGTAAACACAAATAAATGGATATAACCACCAATGCTACTTTTGCTGTTTACATGAACATACTGTACACACACAATGACATAGTGGGAGTACTTAGAGTGATCACAAGAAAATAATCATTACTGTGTGTTTGTGTTTTACAGCAATTCAACAAGACAATGAAGTTCTGGTCCTAGTGGAGAGAGGCAGGTGAGAAAGAAGAATCATTGCAGATCACTTGTTGTCAGTGGCGGGCCATGCATTTTACTCCTAGGCCTTCAGTGGCGTCCTACCTGAATCAAACCACCTCTTAACACCGTCCTTTTGATGCCACGGCTATAGAAATCATCAATATTGTGCAGAAAGGCAGCATAATAGGATGTTGCATCGCAGACAGGTATCTCATGTAGCGAAAATGAATGTTATTACTAAAGCAAGAAACCCAGTTAAAACAATTCAACAAGTCTCCTTTCACTGCAGCCACAGCTGCACCACATACATCACATCTAGCAGTAGCATCAATATCAACCCAATAAAATGACAAAAATATGTATTTTACTCACCAAAACTTGTGATTTTTTGAACATAAACTCCATCCTCCTTTCTTTCCTCATAAACAGTTCAATCACTCTGTTTAGCAGGTAATCCGTGTGTTTCACTTCCAACAATAAGTCCTGTTCTCGCCATGGAGGCTGATGCTGAAAGTCGGCTCTGTCCTGTCGTGTTTCTGGCAAAAGTTTTAATTCACTTTAAGGCTGAAAATGTCCACTTGCCTAGCTTAAAAAAAGAACAGCCCCCCCCCCCAATACTTTTACGATAAAGTTTTAGCTTGAGCAGGTTCTCTGTCCATCAAATCAGAGGATGTGAACATGCTGACGTTGTTTTACATCTGCTAGCTGGCCCTGGGACCACCAACTCAAAATCTGATTGGTTAAAGCAACAATTTCATTGCAATGCCTTTTAAACTCCAGGCGCCTGCACTTTTGATTCTGAAGGCCTCAGGGCAGATTTCTTTGACCCTGGCAACACATGATGGCTGAAATATGATTGGATAAAAACAAAAAAGCTCTAATATAAACATACACTGCTGGAAGCACCACAGTCCAGACAAACACTATGAAATGAAGAGAATAGGCTATTGGGAATCATGTAAAAAGATTAATGGGAAAATATTACAACGCAAGTCAGTGTTTCTGATAGAGTTTAGGCCAGCAGAAAAGGCCTTGCTGGCCCTGTTCTATTTCTAAACTTTAACAGTAAATGTTTAACTTCACAATCTGTCCTACAGAGTAAAGCCATTTAAGGAGTATGTTAAGCAGCTTCTTTTTCAAACTGAATTCTGTTTAACGTGTAATCCAAAATGTAAAGCATGTAAAACAGTTTTTGCCTCGCCTGCTCATTTACATTCTGTTCTTTGCTTGTAGACTCTTATTGTCTCTCCTTAACAGTTCCCTTCTCCCTCTGCCCCATTTCTCTTTATTTAGAACTCTGTACATAGAGGGAGAGAGGAAGCTGGATTTTTCTGGCTGGTGTGGGGCCATCCAGGCGGCAGCAGGGAGCGGAGGAGACACCCTAAGCCAGCAGCAGCTCACAGAAACAGACATACCTGTCATAGTACACAGCTGCATCGGCTACATCACACAGTGCGGTGAGAGACATCTAAAGATGGACACAAACAGCAAACTCACTCATTTTGTAAATTAACCTTATGAAACTCATTGAACTTTGCTTATGGCTCATCTATTTAGTACTTTTTGGGGCCACTGTTAGCTGCATTTACTTGATAGGAGAATTCACACACAGTCTACATTCCGGTATGCTATTGTGGTCTTACTGTGTCTGTGTGTACACTTGGCACTCTCTGTGTGTTTGTGAACTCATGTGACTATAATAGCAGGAGTTCTGGCTCTGGAAAAGACCAACGGACCACAAGACAACAAAACAACTCTTTTCCACCTCCATTTTTGCCTTTGCTCCCTCCGTGGTGCATTTCTTTCTCTCCATTCTGTGTTTTCTTCTTTATTTCTCTCTTGTCATTCTTCCTCCCACACTCCACCAGCTGACTGACCTTATTTCACTCCAACTAGTAACGCCTCTCGCTTTCATGTACTGGTAGTGGTCAATTAACATAACACAACAACTTATGTAATCATCCTTTTTGATGTGATCAAATGCTTTGTTTTGTTTTGTTTTGTTTTTTCCGAACTTTATGTTGCTAAATGTTACAAGAAAACATCATGAACTGTGTTTCGTACTACCACTACTCCACTCCTTTTCATCCCAGGAACCTTTATTAAGGAACGTAAGATTCCTTTAGACTGTTTGTTGTCTGTATTAGTCTGACTAAACCATAGCTATTTTTTGTCTTTTAACATTTTTACCTTTATTGGACAGCCACAGTGGAGAGAGACACAAGATGTGGGGAAGGAGAGCAGGGGCTTGACATGCACTAAGGGTCCGCTTACCTGTGAATCAGTGTTTGAGGGCATTTGTGCACATGTTCCTTAACAGCTTGGCTATGAGGTTGCATGAGTGGTGTCATTTTTGTGTGCAATTATACAACAGACTGTTACAGTCCAGTAAGCGGCAGATATGCAGAGGGCTATACAAAAATGACCTCATATAAAACAAGGGACAGACAACACTGCAACAACACTAAGAATGAAGGAGATTAAAGTATGCTGCTGTGATTTACTGCTTTGGAAACGAGGTCATTGAGTCAGTACTTGAAAAAAGATGAGCAGTTGTGACAAAGCGGGTTTAAAACACTCAATATGCAAGAATCAAAGTAAGCAACAGGATTTTATGAGCTATTGCATAGATTGACTGGGAGATGATTAAGACAGACTTACTCAAATAGGATGCTTTTATACTTAACCAATCAGAAATGTTTAGTACCACCAAAGTTCCTGACCTTTCTGAAAGTATTACTCTCTTAACAGGAAGTTTCCAGGGGCAAATAATGTAATCTAAACTTGTTCAAGTCCCTGGTCCCTGCAGTGGATACACACTAAGTTCCTCTAAAGGTTCCTAGTCCCTGGGAAAAGTTCCTGCAATGGTCACACAGCTATTGTAATAGTGTCTAAGTTGAGAAGTTTGACATGCATCTGGTTGAAGCAGGCTTTTAATCATGAATCAGTGCAACTATAGAAGCTCAAAGAAGAACAAGACAAAAGAAAGCAAATAAGATGTGAGGATTTTTAATTACTCGAAGCCCTCTAGTGGGCAGAACTTGCTCTGAGCAATTTGAATAATACATACTGTTCACACCCATTGCTTTAATTAATTTTCACACAGCGTAGAAAACTGCAACTGCACCACACTGCTCTCTGTGGGTGAACACTTCTAAGCATGTTGTTCTTCTGGGCCTGCCAGTCAGTCATAACATATTTGCTATATTTTTTTTTCAACTGTCATCTGACTGACTGAAGATGGATAACAATTTTTTTGGCATCAGTGGTGGATATGAAATCAAAAGTGTACAGTATCTGTGAGAGTTTTGGCCTTTAGAGATTATCACTTGCATCAATATGAAAGGCTGAGCCCTTGCAAGATTTTTTTTGCCTGTTTTTTTTCCAGTCTTAAGGTAGAAAGCTCTTAAGTTTACACTTTATACAGTAGTTTTTGAAGTCTTATGAGATCGATTGACAGGCTTTAATCTGTTCTGAACCATTTTGTCCTTATGTGTAAGTTGAAATGTGAAAATCCAGTTGGTGGAACAAGTGTTCTTCATCAACAATGATGTTACAGTATGTTCAGGTTTTACATACCAGTGTTTGTGACTTTATGTTGTCTGTGTGTGCTTGTTCATGTTATTTTCCAAGGTTTGACATCAGAGGGAATTTATCGTAAGAGTGGTGTGAACTCCCGTGTGGCAGCTCTGTGTGAGAGATTCCGTCGTGACGCTCGCAGTCTTCGTCTAAGAGAAGGAGAGCATCAAGTGGATGACGTCTCCAACACACTCAAACGCTTCTTCAGGGAGCTAGAGGAGGGACTGTTCACATCAGAGGATGCCAGCAACTGGCTCAGTGCTACTGGTAAGATTCACAAGACTGTTTATATGAGTAAAGGAATGCATAAGTAGGTATTAGAAAATTTGGAGAGACTGTACCATATTTGTTGCTGAGACATCTGGTGCCACCTCAAAACAGTGGCACTAAAGTGGAAAATATTTTTCAGCATCATCTACAGACCTTGCTCTGGATATTTTCAACAGTTTAGTGGGTGTTTTGTACTAAAGAAGTCGTCCTATCAGACTTGCATTGTATTGTGCAGTTAACACAGTGACTTATATTTCAGAACCTTTAAGGGCAGCTAGGAGGGAAACAACCTCTATGGAAACAGTGCAAGCATGGCCAGAAGTAGGCAGATCTTAAAAATGTCTTTATTACAGTCAAACAAAGTTATCATGACTTAAATATTAAACAAACAAACAAACAAACAAACAAAAAACTAAAGCTTAATTTTTTTTATTTATTTTTTCAAAAATTAAAAAAAAAAAAAAGGAATACACAGATTTTTGCAAGTGCCCACATGTGTTAGAAACTTTGAGAAACGTAGTGGCTCTACATATTGTGGATATTTGAACCAGTTATTTCCTATCTACACTGTGTAAATACAGCCTGCAGTTCAGCCCATTTCAACTGAAAGCTCCCTTAAGTTTTGTCATGTGCCTTTTGGTTGCAGTCACTTATTGCTGCTGCTTCTTGGCTGCACTGAGGAGTACAGATTTTATTTTCAATTTTTTTTTGATTGTGCAAATAGTTTTCTGTACGTACACTTGAACTTTGGTGCTTGCAAGGTCACTGGAAAATATGGTCTTTGTACAGAGCTCTGCAGTAATTGTTCATTTAGAGTTTGTTACTGTGTTTGGATTTGTATTCCCTATATATGCCCTCATTTTTACTCATCATTTCTTCTCCATCTTTCTCCCCTTTTTGATCTTTTAATTTCTGATATTATGCTTTTAATTTTTCCACCTACACTTCCTGGAACTGTGTTTATCTCCTCTGTGTAAATAATTATCAATTTTCCTTCCTTTCTCTCTTTCTTGTACTCCAGCCATTCAGGATGAAAGTATGAAAATCTCCCAGTACCAGCAACTGTTGAACAAACTGCCTCGTGTCAACAAGGCTACACTACAAGCCCTTATCAACCACCTCTATTGGTGAGAAAAAGATACACAGTGACTGGTATCCTCTTTTATCTCTGTTTATTTCTGTGTGAACATACCCATATGTATTTTCCTCTGTGTGTGTTTCAGTGTGCAGCTTTATTCTGAGATTAACCAGATGAACCTCCATAACCTGGCCATAGTGTTTGGTCCCACATTGTTCCAGACTGATGGAAAGGACTACACTGCTGGCCGTGCCATAGAGGACCTCATACAGCACTACATACTCATCTTTGAGGTCAGACTCACTGCTCACTGTTACACATGGATGATCAGAGGAGGCAAAACATTTTATGTATTTTTTTATTTTTTTCAAATCTTACATCTCGACATCAGGAAATGGCAAGTATTACACACAGTGCATACTTATAAAATGCTGAAATGCGACAGAACATGCCATTTTTTGTATGCAGGATGTAAGATCAAGCCCCAAAAATGCTGAAAATAAGCACAGCAAACTTTAAGGAGCAAATCATTCCCATTGTTTCTAGTAATATTTTACATCTATATATAATCATCATCATCATCTTCATCATCCCCATCTTATGAATTGGAACAGATCTTAAATAGTGTCATTTTCCTATCGTAAGATGGCAACATTATTTACACAACAGTTTTTCTATGTTTCCAGTGAATCTATTAGAGATGATGTGAAAATTAGATGGCAGGGGCAGGGGGAGGGGAAGGAAATGCATAATGATGTGATTGCCTCTCATGAGCTTGAAATTAAATCCCAGTAGTCATTGTCAAATTTTACTTTTCCTGAAAGATTTGTTTGAGTTTCTGGAAGAGGTTTCAACTCTCATGTGAAAGGCTTTTTTCTTTTTTTTTAGTTCTAACTGACTTTTGGTAAAGACCGGGGCTTCACACCAGTCAGTCAGAACTGAGGAAGTCTTTTAGATGATAGGTGAAGGATCTTCCTGAAATTCAAGCTAGTCCAGGCGCCATGACCAGGATGATTGAGATTCTTTACCGACATATCCTCATGAAAGATGACCTCATACTACAGAAAGCCTTATCTTAACTGCATTCCTTTGTACTGAGAAGATAAAGGTTTTTTTTAAAATTTGCATTTTCTGGCATTTACATGACAACGAGAAGATCTGATTTCCTGCTTGTTTAACGGGAACAAGAAGCTTTGAAATACTGATGGGAATTTTAGATTTAAATCTAAAGATTGGCAAGATGCTACCGATAAAGTTGTTGATTCATTGTTTGTGTGTGAATGAATGTTTTGCAGGTGGATCAGCAGCAGCTGAAGAAGCAGCTAGGAGAGATCAAAGTTATCATCGATCTGCGAGAGAAACTCAACAAAAAGTTTCCTGTGAGCCACACACACTTTCATAAAACACAGTGATCCTATTTTACACAATGCATGTTTTAATGACCTAAGCAGCCTTTCTGTAGATGGTTTGCTTAACAATGTGGGTTTTGTTGTTTAAGTCACAGATGATCTATTTGGTTATTGTTCAGAGTTCATGTCCAAATGTGTAACAAAAAAAGGGTTTAAAATTATAATGAATTGTATCAACTTTACACACAAAGCTGTGGTGTGTGTGTATATGTATGTGTATTTGGGCATCTATGTGTGCTGTGGTTTATTATCTGGATATTTTTTTCTGTCTGATCTTTTCTGTGTGTTTGTGTGTATATGCTGGACACCTTAGAGAACTGAACCTGGAGGCCACTTCATTTGTACCGTGTACCTGGAGGAAAAGAAGGGCACAGCAGAGCAAGGCGTCAAGGTGAGATGGCTTTCACCGAATGACACAATATTACTGGACATTGTATCACTTTTAGTGCTCAGTTCTTCTCTTTTCTGGTGTACGAAGTGTGTCAGAAAAGTTTCAGGACTGGTGTCACAAAAGATATATTTCAAACTACAAACTACAAGTTTTCCCCTTCGAAGTAATCCCCCCGGAGTCTAACACAGTTTCCCAGCCCTGTCTGCCACGCCGCCACGCACTCCTGGAAGGATTCTTCCGGGATCCTCTGCAGCTCCATCGTCACAGCCATCTTGATGTCATCTACGTCTTTAAAACGGGTCCCCTTGATGACCCTCTTGAGCTTGGGGAAGAGGAAAAAATTCCACGGAGCTAGGTTGGGTGAGCAGGGAGGTTGCTCCAGCACGGCGATGTTCTTCTCAGCCAGGAACTGTTGGATGCTCAGGGCGTTGTGAGCAGGCGTGTTGTCATGGTGAAGCAGCCACAACTTGTCCTGCCACAACTCTCACTTCTTCTTGCGCACTGAATGAAGCAAACGCTGCAGGATCTCTTTGTTGACGTGCTGGTTGATTGTCTGAAGGAAAAAAACTCGTAGTTTGTAGTTTGGGTTTAAAATATATCTTTTGTGACACCAGTCCTGGAACCTTTCTGACACACCTCATATGTTATGTGCCACTATACCAAACTCACTGTATTAGTATTGAGCCATACTCAGGAGTAACTTATTTTGTTCTTACCTCAGATCCCTGGTTCTATGACAGCAGCAGAGCTGACATGTGAGGTTTTGGACCGGCGTAACATCCCAGTGGAAGCCAATGAGTACTGGAGCTGCTGGGAGGTCAGCGACAAGGAGGAAATGGGTGAGACATGAGGGTGGCGTAACAGTAGTTCAACAAACACCTTCTTTGTGTTTATAATTTTTGTGCAAATTATGTTTTTTTGTCAAAGTGGAGGACTCCTTTGGTTTGGAAAGCAACGTGAGTTCATATGACTAAATGCAAGCTGTGTCAAATTAACATAAAAGATGAAGAAAAGGCCCACAGCAAAACAAAAACAAAGCCTATGAAGTGCTCTCTGCTCAGCCTGGAGTCTGAACTACGCAAAGTGACACACCAACTCCAGAGGCAAAAAGATCAGTCTCAGCAATGTGACTGTGTGCCTTGGTTTGTTTTGAGCCTTGTATGTGGGCCATCTGTTTCCCCACCAGGAAGCCTGTAGGTGGCTTATCAAATGCCAGTAACACTCAGCTGATTTGGCAAATTTCCCATTGCTAGTCAGAAAAGCAACCTGCTGATTATAGGAGGAAATGGAGGAAAGATTCTGAGAAATGGAAGGAAATTAGAGAGTGTATGAGTGACAGGAAGAGCTGGAGGAAATTCTGTCACTCAGTTGCTTACTACAAAAATACGCTTTTGTCTATTTTTGACTTTGGTACGTAGGTGTAAAAGGCACACACTGTTCAAGAATGTAAAGTAATGCTATAAACCCAGTCTGCACTCCATTGTTAAAATAATAATGGCAAATTTTTTCTATAGATTCCAAAACTATTGTACACTGACATTCATAGCATCAAGAGCTCAGCGTGGTTCTCTAAGAATGACATTGTTCAAATCTCATGTTCTTTCTTTTATCATGATAACATTCTTTGTTATGCAGAGGAATGATTTGAGGTTGCAGCAGATTTTGTCACATAATCTTGTCTTCCCGTGTCCTCAGAACGTCTGCTACACTATCAGGAACGAGTCTTACCCATCCTTCACTCCTTTGGCACCGACTCCCATCTGCTCATTAAGAAACACCTTGCTATGCAGGCAATGGTTGCCTTCCTGGGTAAACACAAACCAACAAAAGTTTTTTCTCTAAATCGCTGCATTGTTTTTTCTGCCACATTGTTGCATACCTTTTCATCTCTCATTCTGCCCCCCAGCCAGTAAAGTGGACGCATCCAAACATGGGATGATGAAATTCAGAGAGGAGCGAAGCCTTTTGGGATTGGGGCTGCCATCTGGAAGTTTCCATGATCGCTACTTCATCCTCAATTCCACATCGCTCAGAATGTACAAGGAAGTCAGGGTAAGACTGACAGAGATACACATGTGCAAACTCTTTCCTTTTGTCTTTTAAACACTTGAATTCTGTCCTAAACACATTGCCTGTTTTTTCTCTCTGTCAGAGTAACCGCCCTGAACGCGAATGGCCAGTGAAAAACCTAAAGGTTTACATCGGGATCAAAAAGAAACTCCGTCCTCCAACATGGTGAGCACATGCTGTGTAGCACTGGCTTTCCTCCTCATGACAACTGTGTGGCAAAGCAACAGGTGGCATCTCTGGATGGCAAGAGCTGTGATACCATGACGAAGACAAGCCGTGACAATCAACAAAGATCGTCACTTACTTCAGTGGCCACAAAAACTTTAACCTACTGTCTATTTTCCACTGTACTATATAAAGTGTGCTTGTGTATATTAAGAATATACACTTTTCCTGAAACATCTAATTACCTTTGTTGTTGCTTTTCAAAGCAGAATGATATATGCACACTACCTCCATAGCTTTGCAAGAGACACTTCTGCACCACAATACTACTGGTGGGAGTGATTAGTGTTACACTTCTAAGCAAAACGCAACATTTTGATCAGTTTTGTCTGTGAATGTTCCACTTCTACAGATCTCAGCACCAGCGGTGATGGTAATAAGCTCTGTCGGAGTCAAAATAATTTAATCCAGCAGTGGGTGAATAATGAAAACAAATGTTAGAAAGAGTCAAAACTGCATCTGTTGAGAGAATAAATGTTTAAATGCTAGGAAAATGTATGTATTTTTTATGTACTTTTCATTTAACTGTCTTTCTTTATTTGCGTCAGATCAGTCAATGCCCCGAGGTTATATGTGGGATTTATTAGTTTAAAACTGTACACAGGTTGAGAGCCAGATCTGTAGCTCCACTCGCTCTTCAGCATAATAATTTAAAGGAATAATTAATGGATAATCTTTAATAATTAATTTTCTAATTTTGGATACATTTTTGCCTTGTCTGAAATACCTCAAGGGAACGTGTAAAAGAGGGTGACCACTAGGGGGCAGACTGAGCCTAAGGATTTTAAGCACCAGAATTTCTGTTGATGTTTTTTTTTCTTTTTTTCTTCTTTTTCTTTTTAATCTTTCTACTTCTTTCTCTGTTCATTTCTAGTTGGGGGCTGACAGTGGTGGATGAGAGCAAGAAACAAGAGAAGCCAGAGAGACAGCAGTGGTGAGTAGCTGTCCGGAGCTGCATATACAGCATCTGAACCTCTTGTATATAGCACATAGCTGTCAGCCCAGACTAATCACCGCTCAGGCAAGCCCTGTACATGCTGTCAACAAGCATACATGTTTGTTTTTTTTAACTTTCATTTATCTGTATTAAACCTAAACTTCAGCTACATTTGGTGGTGTGGGCTGCTACACGGCTGCTGTACATCCAATCAGATGTATACTGTTTTTTTGATTATTGTGTTAGCTCAGACCAGTTTGCAGCTCACGTAAGGATGCAACCCCCAGATGTACTGTGTGTCTGATCATCCTCCCAAAAGCAGTTCCATCTGAGAACTACAGCTGATAAACCAACTATATTTATATGCATCCAGTATTTATTTTTTCTGACATGCCCCCTCTTCAAAAGCCAAAAACAGTTCACACACCCCTAGCCTACAATTTTTATTAATCCTTATCAGTGATAAAAAATTTTTTTTAAAAAAGCAATTGATAAAACAGATCCAAGCTGAATTAAGATTAAATAAAAGTCAGCACGAGAGCATCAACAAACTCTGTTTCTTTGGACTTTCCTGTTATTATTTGGAATCAAAAATCAGCTCCATGATTGACCTGTCTATGTTGTCAAACCAGTTCATATCATCATCAGCGTAGGACTTTGATTTGATTTTACTAACCAGTTGTCTGTTACTGTGTATTTTTGAAAGCAATGGCTATATTGTGTAGCTGTCCCAACTGAGCCAGTGCAAAGATGGCTGAGAGGTGACACACAGTTAACACACAGGTGAACGTTCACGTTGAGGCAGAGGAGGAAGCATCATGTGTGAGAGCTAGAGAGGCTAAAGTCTTGTGTGGCGATTGGATTTCTTTCAAACCCCCACAATCTGTACATCAAAATAAAGCTTTAGACCTGTCATTTATACCTGAATGGATGACATTTCTCCATTTTTGAAAAAGAGAAAAAAAAAAAGTGTAAATTTGGAGAGAAAAAAAAACATTTTATCTGGTGTTCCAGTCAATATTTATCCGTTTAAAACTTAACATGCTCTATGTATCAGCTGTAGGGTTCATGGAGTTTTGACTTAGCGTCCACTAGCACCCTACCACATATTTCACGGTTATTTAACCAGGCAGCAGCAAGCTCAGCAACCAGTGATTTGTGAAGGTAGCCATGGACTCTGCAGCAACCCCAGCAAAAATATGCGAGCACTTTACAATCAGCACAACTGATACAACCAAAATCATCTGCAAATTGTACAAGACCACAGCAAGCAGAAGCAGGGATGTGAAACAGCTACTGCCCTCTGTAATGAACTACCATATGCATTGCAATCATCCTTTCTTCTATCTGAACACAGAGACAGATAATTTTGTTGGTTGAACAGATACAGATAATGACATCTCTGTCCACCTCTATCTTCAGCTGCTCCCCACAAATTGCTTTTAAATCATATGTTTATTTCAGTGTGGAGAACAGAACAGGAGAAAATGAATTTCATTCCTGTCCGACTCATATGCTTCAAACATCATACTGTACTGCGTCACTAATCTAGCTTTAGATGTCCCTGCAGTAGCATGTAGCTTTCACTTCGGACTTACTTGTTCTGACATGTTTGCTGTCTTTATGTTTAGCCAGCCGTGGCACTTTCCCCTCACTGGCAGCATGGACACATTTATACTATGCATGTAAACATGACCAACATGAGAGAAAGCTGGCAGTTTCTCTGTAGGCAGAGAAACAAGGTCAGATCACTGCATGAGAGTTTTGAGAAGGTCGGCTCCACCTAGGAGGGAAACACACAAGAACACACCTATAATCGTGGCTCTATTCTAATCCAGGTCTGTTCACGTATACATCCCTCTGTGTATGTGTGTGCATTAGTTAAATTTGTGTGTGTAGATCCCTGCGTCCTCTGCGTCTTAGCATGTGTTTGTGTTACACTGGGCTCTGTATTGTCGACAGCGGTAGAGATCTTCACAGCTGTAATGGGAACGCTGTTCCCGTCACGCTGTAGGCAGTATCATCTCCTGGTTACGCTCCAACGTCATGTCCTTCACAGAAAAGAACACACCTTAGAAAAAGACTCCGAGAGAGGGAGGGAATTTGTGAGAAAGATAAAGAAGGATGTGGAAGGAACAGAGGTAGTGTCACGCTGAAGGGGAGATACTGTATATGAATTTGAAATTTTGAATTGACTGCAGGTAAAAGAAAACTTTGTAAAAGAGTGGATAGAAATTTAAACTTTGAAAATGTGAAAAAAGGAGGAGGTGAGCCAGACCTCTCTCTCCAAATCTTACTTACCCACCTGCACTTAATGCCCCCTATTTTATCCTGTTATTGTATCCATCCCCTCAAAACTCTTAACACATTAATTTCCCCTTTGTGCTGCACTATTTTATCAGCATATTCCTGCAGCCGCTGTACTTAAGCTTACAGGAACACTGATCAGTTTTTAGAACATTATGTAAATCATATTCAATGGTTTTGTGGAAAACCATAATAAGAAATGAGCAGCATTCATTTTTCTCCAGCTGATAATGTTGTAGATTAGCAGGCAGTTAAGTGCGAGTAAAAAGGAAAAAGTCTTGTACGTATTGTATGAGATGCTAAATGTAGGCCCTCCTTTGTATCCTAACAAGCACTAAGTGGTGCATACAAGCTCTGCGTGTGTGAGGCACATTGGCATGTGTGCCAAATTGCAAGACTGTAGCTGAATTTAAGTCTGCAGTATTCGCTGAACAACACTGTATAAGTCTCTTTGTGTCAGTGTTTTGTTGTGTCTCAATGGAGACCACTTGAATAATTGTTCGAGTCCCTATCTGTGTACATAATAATAATTGTATAAATAAAGTCTATTTATTCAGCACCACAGCATAGCTGATGACTCAGAGGGCTATGAGACGGCAACCTGAGTGGCATAAAATATGCACGTACACACAGACATTACAGAGACAAAAACACACTTTTCACAGACACACACACACACACACTGAATGCTGAAGGTCCTAATCAGTGTTTCTCTTTGGTGGAAGTTTAAATTAGGAATCACACTCGGTGTTTACGCTTGTGGCATCACCGCCAGGCGCCATAGGAGAGAACATGTCAATTTCAGTTAATATCTTTGAGTACCTCTCTTTCTTCTCGTTGTTTTTTTGCCAAATTTCCCTTGGCCTGTCTGATTTCTTGTCTCCCAAGACCACAAATACACATACACACAAACACAGACACATAGACACAACCTCCTGATTTTGTCGCACTTTCTGCCTCACTTTGTCATCCTCTGTTTATTTGCAGGTATCTTTGCTGCGACACCCAGTCAGAAATGAGGGAGTGGTATGCTACATTTCTCAGTATCCAGGTGTGCTCTCTCATACATACATACATACATACTGCTTTAATCCTCTAAACTCCAACAGTTTCTGTTACGTTTTCCACTCCTGTCTTATGTTAAATCGTTGTGGGCTCATTTTTCCCTGTATTGTAAGAGTCCTACACCTCTATGGAAACTACACAACCATGGCTAGAAGTAGCACAAACTCTAACATGTCCTTTGTGTAGTATAATGACGTTATTATGCCATAAATAATTAAACATAAACGGAAGTTCAATTTCTTTGAAAAACTTGGAATCCACATGTACAATATGTTTCCAAGTACCCACAGGTGTTACCAGTATGGACTCTACATTCTATAGATATTTTAGGACTGACATTTTAAGTTAGTTTCCATCCTTGTCTTCTATCTGCTCTGTGTAAACACAGCCTACAGTTTAGCTGAACAATAATTTTTGTCACGCCACTGTTGGTGTCTTGGATGCAGAGGATCACAGAATTTTTTTTGTTTTTTACATGTAGATTAAAAAGATTTTGATGAAATATCTAGATTTTTAGCTTAGATTTGTTTGTTTTTCCCATTAAAATCAAACTTCACACTTGATTAATTCAATTCTTAGATGAGACAATTCTTCCTGTTTTTACAGTATCTCGCTGTTATAAATGGGGTCATTTTTGTGATTCTTTAAAAAAAACACACACACACTGGCGTTTTTTTTTTTTTTTTAAGGGTTAATGCACATATTTTGCAGACATGCTATAACCTGATATTTGTAATCATTTAAATCTGATGAATCCTTTGCTGTTTGTTTTCACTAAATCATAGTATTTTTTCCACTAGTTTTAAATGTAGCTTTAGCATTAATGTTAACACTGCATTATTGGAGGGAGATGGCATGACACAGTAACATGCTTGAAGTGAAATATTTCTTCATGGTGTAGTAGTGTTGTATGTAGCTCGTAGTACTGTAAAATGTCTTCTTCCTCCCTATCTCCATCTCTCTTCCTTAAAGAACGACGGTGACGTGTGGCCTGAGAATGGACTCCAGCAGACACGGGTGAGCCGTGTGCTGCCGGATACGCATCACGGTAACGTGTCACTGATACCGCTTCGTGGCAGTGAGAATGAGATGCGGAACAGCGTAGCCGCTTTCAGCCAAGACCAGCTTGCTGTGAGTCAATCTACCAATCACTGGGACCAATCTAGGACAAGCCAGGCAGCTCAGTCAAAAGCTGGTGGCTAATCAGAGACATTCATGCTGGACAGGTGGTCCAGACCCTCAACTCTGACCCTCATCAAAAAGCACACATCCTAACCCAGTTTTCTAATATGTGCTCAGGATGACTGATTTCTATGTATTTCCTGCATAAGATGGTATGAGATCAGAGCTTTGCATCCAGATGACAAATGGATGTTTTCTTTTTCTTCTTCCTTCTGTCAAAAGAAGGACAGGAGTTGGGGGTTGCACCTGTGCAGGATTGATATTCTCTGTTCCATGATTTATCTTTGATTTAACCATCATGATGGGATCTGGGTTCTTAAACTGTAGGTTTCGACCAAAAATAGACTACAGGGCTCTTCATTGTGTGTTTTCATGAGCCTAGATTCCAGGGGAAGAGATTAAATTTGCATCTGAGTCTAAAATGGTTTAAGAATCCAGACAATGTGAATAGGAGTGGACCACGGCATCTTCATGTTGCAGGCCTTTTGGACTGAGACCCAAGAAAACAGAATTATGACAAGAGTTATTTAGGCGAAGCGCTGTCAAAGTTGTGCTTAAAACACAAAAAAAAAAAACTCCACAGAAAACAACACATTTGAAGGGAGCTCTAGCTTGCAGACAGTCTACGGCTAACACTATGTCTCACAGCACTGCTGCCATACCAGCTCACAATTTGGCATCAATTAGACAATCCTCTTTGCCGTAACGTTGTTGGACTTTAAACTAGACCTGTTCAGCAACATCAATATCACTCTCTTTATCTGTCCTCTTATTTTCATAGAGGATTTCACTCCAGCCATCCATCACACTTCACTCTGGGCTCAATCTTGGTGCTCTGAGACCAAATGTCCACGATCTGATGATGCAGTTGTCTCCTCCTGCTGTTTCCTAGCTTTCTAATACCTCTCATTATTCTTGCTGCAGTCTACAGCAGCACATGTGTAATTCAGCCCAGTCTGACGTAACTTCCACTGGCAACAACATGATTCAAGGATTGCTGTGTTGTTGCCTTCTAGATATTTTCTATTGATTCTTGTCTGCTCGGTGTATTGTACTCAATGAATTTTTTGTTGTGAGTGTAAGGAGAGGTGTGATTGCTTTGGTGATGGGCCAGCAGCAAACAGCAGCCGGATTTATGCAGGATGTGTGTGTATGTGGGGCGGAGGAGATGGATGCACTGCATGCTGATATGTTCAATCAACAATGTGAAGTGAAAGAGTAAATATGGTACACTGACCATGTGTGTCAGTGTGTGTCTCTTTGTATGAGACTCACTGTCATCTCACGACAGACCTGCTCTTGTGTGTGTGACTGAAAGTTGTGACGGTCGACTGCTCTTGTTTATGACTCTCAAGGTGAATGTGATGATGTTTGGTATGATATTTGAATGTTAATCCCTCAGAATATCTACAGCTCTGTTTTTTCCACTTCCACACACTTGTTCTTCTTCACACTTCAACTTGTCTTCTGTTTCCCCTTTTCTTCAGTCTATCACTGTCCTCACCTCACTGTGTTTCTCTTTGTCTACACATCCCAGTCTACATCTGTCCATCTCCTTTGTCATAATTCCTCAATTGTTTATCTTTCAGCTCTTTAGAGATATTCGGTAATGGCGGAGACAGGCGAGGTAAGACAATTTCACATTTTAATTAGTATTTACATTTATATTAGTCTTTTCTGATTAAATGAATTTCAGTTGATGTGTCAGCACTGTATTTTATGGTCCGTGTGAAGTTTGTCAAGCTCATTGGTGTATGTAAACATGTTGTCATTAATAAAAACCAGTGCTTGAGAATAAGGCCACGTTTACATATAGCTGGATATTTACAAAAACGGATCTATGTTTTCAAAAATAACATTGTTCACACCAGATTGTTTTAAAAAAAATCTTTACACAAACTTGCATAAACACGCTAAGAGCTGCTATGAGCATGCCAAACCTATAGGGGGCAGTGTAGAGAGAAGTATAAAGCCATGCTAGCCAATCAGAATCCTGGCGTAAATTACTTTCTGTTACTTTAACAATAATGGCGCAAGGGTCATTTGTGTGGACTGATAGAGAAGTGGAGCTACTTCTAAATGTGGTGTTAGAGTACATATCGAACCAAAGCGATCCTTCCCCTCTGCTCCTCCACATAATAGAGCATTTGTGAATGTAAATGCATACAGACCAAAAGCATTTGCACAAACGTCAAAACAAGCGCTGCTTTACCAGCATCCATTTCTATCACAGTAGCCAAACTGTTAACATGGGTCCCACACATATGACGCTGATGACACTTTTGCCGCATACTGTGATGTCAAACTCCGTCTCCTCCTGCCTACATGCAAACGTAAAGACAAACTTTTCCAAATCTCCACTTTGGCCGGAGTTTTCAGATATGATTGTTTGTAGATTGTAGATTTGTTTATGTGTAAACCAAAGGCTGAAAGGTATTGAAATATCACTGTTTTTGCTACGTGTAAATGGGGCCTGAGAGTACCGTAGATAGAAACGTAGATCCAGTTTGTATTAAATCATATGCTTTGGCTCATGAATCTAATAAGACCAAGGTCAATCAAATATTGAGGGGAAAAGCACCTTTGTTTCTCTATGAAAACCCACGTTTTCATGGGTATCTCAGGTGCCCGAGCATCATTTTTATAATCCATTAATTTTAAGCCATTTACAAAGTGAAAATTCCAAATATTGCCTGATTCTAAAATGCGATGTTATGCTACTGCTTTATATATTTAGGTTTTGGACTATAGGAATTGACATATCACAGAGTCTGAGTGAAAGTTAAAGCATTATTCCTCAGCATACTGATCTGTTGGTTTATCTGTCAGGCTGCATATCTGTGTTTATCTGCTCTCTTGACCGCAGCTTATTGAGTCCACATCTCATGAGCAGCCTCATATCTGGTTGCCATGGCTCCGAGACATTCGTGGTCTGGATTAAAATTTGAAGCTTGACCTCCCAGGGGGACATTGAAAATACTGTGAAACTGATTTCAGGTTTAGGGAGATAAGCTGCATGTTAAGTAAAAATACTAATCTTTACAGATGTTCATGAAAATGAAGACAAGTGTGTGACATATTTGACGTTGAATCACTAACTGTCTGGATGTTCGTTCTTTAGGGGGTGGATGTTCGGCCTCATCGGATGACCTCTGAACATGCCAGTGACTTCATCATTCTGGGACTGTTCAGACAAGAATGATGGACACTCAGAAAACACAGACATTCGTATTGGGTGTGGATCACGGCCTGACACTTCCATCTGCTCCTTTGAATATAAACTGGACCAAAAGTAAAACGGACGATGGGATCACATGTAAAATATAACATACACTGGTTCTGTGCACAGATGAATTTTACTTGATGCACAGAAGAAGTATCTGGGAGCTCTGGTATTAATGGACACTCATGGACCACAGTCACTCTCAAGAGTTCCTGAATTGCTCGGTTTGCAGCACATCTGCACCCAGCGTTCCACTGTTTCCGCTGAAACGATGAAAAGACACGCTGTGACACACCTGTATTTCTTAAACACATTTGTTTCAGAAAAGACTTATGACTTCAAGGTAATTCTAGGCATGAGCAATGAGTGCTTAGCAAGTTGTTTTTGTTAGAAAATAGGACTTTGACCTTTATTTGCAGCTGAATCAGTTTTTTTTTTTTAGCTCACTTTCTGTATTATTGCTCAACAAATCACTGGGATAATTGTGCAGCTCCAAATTGAATAATCAATATTGCAAGCAAAGCTGATGTCATAAAAGACAATGATGTGATTTTGTCCGGAGTTTGTTCCACGGGGACCAAAACTGGGACTGAAAAAAATGACCTGTAATGGATCAATGTCTGTTACTCTGCAGGGCATTTGCCAGTACTGTGCTAAATCTCAGTCAGATTTTGCTTTTTTGTGCCTGTGTCCACTATTCTGTACACGTGCGCCAGTATTCATACCGTATGTGTGGGTGAGTTTTATTTTGTGCTTGTTGGGGAGCAGAGGAAAGAGAGTCACGTGCTGGAAAAAAGAAAACATTATTTTTCTTAAGATTAAAAGAACGGTGCAGGTGAGGGTCAAGTGTCTTTTATGGAAAATGTTGAAATATATGATAAAGCAAGAGAAGTGCTTGATTTATTATTGTTCTGAATCCGATAAAAAACAGTGCGCCTTAAGAAGGTCACCTTTCAAAACAATATTTTTGCTCTGGCTTGATCGATAGCATTCTTTCTTTCCTCAGCACTGCCTCCTCTCTGTAGGTTCTTTTTTTTTCACAGCCTGGGATACACAGGTGAAGCTTAGAGACAAAATTAAGTACATGGGCAGTTTTGTCATTAACCAGCAGTATTTATGAAGTTTTAGATTATGATTTAGTCACTTTTGAATTTAAAAAAAAAAAGGTGTCTTTTTGTATTCATAAAGCATAACTTAGAATCTTTGAAACAGTGTATTTTTATAGTTTGGGACACACATGTCCCACTGAAAAGTCTGTGAGGAAAAAAAAAAAAATTAAAGTTTATTACAATGCTCTATCATTCTATTTACCTGTGTCCAAACTTGTATATAATTTTCTTAAAGGATTAACAGTCGCCTTACCAGCTGCGTTGAACATCGCCCATCTTCACTACCTTGTAGCGTTGCTGCCTGTGTGCCACCTGTAGGTTTTCCGTAATGTAAAGATTTATTTATTTCGACAGCAGAGGACGCTAGATGCTGCACTGTAGAATGCCTTTGCTCGGCCCGCTTGGTGCGATGTCATGATTTTCTGCTAAATGTTTAGTTTAGTAGTTTAAACACCTTCAAGTGCCGTATCTGTGAAGAATGTGTATATACAGTATGTGTGTGTGTGTGTGTTTTAATAGCTGTCCTCTGACCTCAGCAGGAGTCCAGACTCACCTGTGTTTAGTAATAATGACACTTCCTATTCAAAGTGTTCACTCTGTACTTCGTTATGGTTTACCAGTTTACAACATAGAATCTCAATAGATGTAGTAAATATGGTCATCAGATTTTAGGTACTAATATGAAGCCTGAAATAAGTTTACAGTTCACCTTTCACCGACAGGTGATCTAACCAAATAGCTTTTCACACCTGGGTTGTACAACAGTCATCAATATTTGCCTCATGATTTTGGAAACAGTTGGCTGCAGCATTGGTAGGTAAACAAAATTACAATTCTTTTCAGTTTTATGTCTTTGATTAAAATTTGGATCTATTTGTTACAATATTTTCTCTTTTTTTTTTCCTTTTTTTAAAAAAATCTCACCAGTGTCCAAATGTCTTTTTACATCACTACAATTCAATGTTGTAAAACTAGATAGTCTTACAGAGGTTGTTGGATACTTTTCATAGGCAGTGTGTGCATTCTTTGCCTTTCCTGTTCTGTTACTCAGCTTTTTCCAGATTTCCGCATCTCTGAAACTCTAATAAACACGTTCAGCTAGTTGTGTGTGTGTGTGTGTGTATTTTGTTTCCTGCTCAACATGCATAGTCATAAAGTTCCTTTCAGTCTTTGAAAAAAGTTATTTCAAAAGGTTGATGTCCTCCAGCTCTGCTTTGCCCTCATGGTAATCCACATGTTTTTTTCTTCCTCATGAAATTAATGTACAAACACACACATACACTCAATCTGCCCTGGGGCGTAGCTGTAAAAAAAGACAAGCTTGGCTGCAAATAACAACACTTTACATGTGTACATGTACTGTAAATATATAGGGACGGATACTTTTGCAAGGCCTGCGGGTGTCATGTCAATGTCACGATGCAGCCGTAAAATGGGAGCCTATAGATGGGCTTCGAGGAAATATGTCAGCATTGTGTGTGTGGGTGGGGTACAGTGATCATAGGGAGAGCCCTGGGGAAGTTTCCTGTGTGTGTGTGGTAGTGAGTCACAGTGGTCCACCAGCACTCGATTCATTCTTTTAAGCAGAACTGACACATCAGGGTCACTCTGTACCTCGAGACACACACCGGAGAGCCCTGCGAGGGACTCACACACAGGAGATCTTCACTAAACCGTCCACAAACACGCACAGGAGACCCACCGGGGAAGAACAAACACATACACACTAAAATGGCCTTTACTATATAGGTCATGGCAGCGGTTGCATAAAGCAGAAGGCTGGAGACAGATGAGTTGGGCCACGAGTGGAAGACGGAGATAAAGTCCAGAGTGGGGGAATGAGCTTGAGGGCTGGACCTACAGTGTGGCAGGCCGCGTCATCCGACCTGCCAGGACCTGCCAGAGCACCTGCCAGCTCCCAAAAATAAAATGTAAATTTTCACTGAGCACAGTGTGCCACAAGTTTTGAAATAGACAAACAATAGGAGGGACGACAGCAGCCAGCAGCCTCCCGTGGAAATCTGGACATCCACCTGTGTGAGCCAATTTCCTTCATTTCCAGTCAGAGCGGCACAACAACACGAACAGCATGAGTGAGTGACACTTGAATTGGCTTTCACTGCATGCTGTGCTGCATCAGCAGACAGGGAAGCTTCATTTAGGTGAAGTTCAGCCTGAATCGAGTCAGCAGAGAAAACCTGCAGGACAATGGCAGAACTGATGTTAACGTTTACTTAAAGGTACACTACCTGATTTTGTTGTGCTGCAGAATAAAGATCCAACCCCAGTGTTCTCTCTGGGAATAAAAAGGCAACCCAGGACTTGACACAGGAAACAGAAAACACTGTACATTTTTCTAGAATTAGATAATAGTTACAGTTAAATCACTGAACTGAAGTTATATCAGGTTCTTCAGTACAGTCATGAAAGTAGTTTGGGATGTTATGAAGAGCACAAAATATCAGAAACATCTCTTTATATGACACAGTTACTTCAATAAGTTATTCTCAAAATATAACATAGTCAGCAGAGAAATAACTAATGCAGGGTTGTCAACACAAACACTGAAAAGTGTGGTGAGAAATCATTGCTGCACTCCAGTTTGGATTGTATCAAACTGTACAAGTATTTTCACATTTCACATTCTCTCCACACTAATCACAAATATTTTTATAGGACTGGACAGTACAGCAGCAAATCCAACACAAACAGGATCCATTTTTGTTGTTTCTTGTTTGTGTGTTTTGTGTTTAGAACTGAAATCTACCGGACAGTTTAATCAGGGGGCAAATCTTTGTCAGGTTCAATGGAGCCATATGAACTTGCTGTTTTGAAATTGGGTTAAATGGAAATAAGACTGTGCAGTTCAGGAGCGGCTGATTTGAATTGCAAATAAATTCACTTTTACTGATCATTAACATTAAAATCACCTGCCTAATATTGTCTTGGTCCCCACTGTGCCGGCAAAACAGCTTGTAAGTTGTAAGGTGGTTCCAATGTGGGTCGGATTTGTTTTCCCAGCATGTCCCAGAGATGCTTGATCAAAATGAGATCTGGGGAAGTTAGAAGCCAAGGCAACACCTTTGTCAAACTATTTCCTCAACAATGTTTGCAGTGTGGCAGGGCTCATTACCCTTCTGAAAGAGTCCACTGCTGCTAGGGGATATCGGTGTCATTAATGGGGGGAACATAGTCTGCAGCAGTGTTCAGTTTCGTGACAAAATAATATCCATAGACATGCCAGCACCCAGGGTTCCCCAGCAGAGCACTGCACAGAGCATCACATTGCTTCTGGCAGCAGATCATCAATGTTATTTACCTGTCAGGGGTTTTAATGTTGTGGCAGATCAATGTAGGATGTGTAAAATGGACCCACATGGAGCTGTTAGTAGACAGTCCTCTATATTTAAGTGATACACAGCACTACAGGCCTATAGGAGAACCTCTCCTGTTCAGTATTTACACAGTCAATCACATCAAACCAGTTGGAAGTAATTTAAGTCATTTACAGAGTTACCCTCAGGGCGATTGCTGTCTTTGAGTCTGTTTATTTCTCTATTTCTGTGTGAGACACTTTCTGTTGAAATCTTGCACAAAAGGATCTGCATAAATATAGTTTTGCATGATTTTCCTTTTGAATTCTGGCATCTTTTAAAGCAGCAGCAGCACAATAACCTGCTCCAGACCAGCAATGGTTTGATAGTTCTACACAACACTCTTCAATCACCAGCTTCCTGTGGTGCAATGTAAATATTACCTCACAAATCACATTTGCGTGTCATTCTTGGTGTCCTTCATTGCATTTTGTAGGTTTACCCACAGTGTTTCCCTGCATGAGGCATCAGTCCAGATTTCCATAATTACACGGTGACCTGCTCTCACCCAACCTGCCAGAACCGGCTGCCACCACTTTTAAAACTTTTCTAATCCACCACTGATGAGCCCTTAGACAACTTTTGTGGACACAATCAATAAGATTTGTTTGCTCAGTTTATATTCATTACGCATTTCCTCCCTTTTGGTTCCAGACAACATCATTCCAGCCTCAGAAATCCTGATGTTCTGCTTTGTTGTCAAGGAAACCGACCAAAGAAGAAGCGATCACATTAAAGGTGTCGATCCCTGCGGCATTTCGACTATAAAAAGCACTACTGTCAGAGGTCGGATGTATTTTTTTTAATGTTAAATCTGAGATCAGTGGGCTGTGCTCATGGTGTCGAGCTGCATCAGGAGGTTTACGCCTTTCCAAAGCAGCGTGTGCCTTTTGTTTCTAGTCTCTGTCATGTCAGCACTGAGGTTCAGCAGCACACGGTGATATAAGCAGCTGTCAGAGGGACTGAAGAGGTGTGAAGAGACGCGTACAGGTGAGAGGCGAAGAACAACAACCTCCTGCCAAGCTGTATTTTTTTCCCCCCTTCCTGTCATGTGTTAGATCCTTGAATAACTTGTCATTTAGATGAAGATAATGAGACATGAGTGATGAAAAAAAAAACACTGTTGTCATCTCAAGATTTATTTTGGTGATTCATGCAGAAAAGCAAGTAACCCTGCAGCTCAATCACAGGTAATATCACCTCTAAATATAATAATATAGAAAACTATGTTTAGCTGTGTTGTTACAGTATGAGTGTTTACTGATTATCTCGAACAACTAATGTATAGAACATCATCTGTGGTGTTTTATTGTCTGAATTGTGGCTTACCTTTGCCTATCAGTGCTGAGGAGATAACAGCAGCGGGAGAGATGAGAGAGAAGGCAGTTCGTCCCAAGAGACTTAGTAGCTACTAAGCAAAACACTAATGTAAAAATAGCTAAATTATGTTTACATAGCACCTTAATTAATTAATGCAGTAGATTGCTTATCATCCCCTTCAAGTCAGAAGCCAGATGCAAAAAAAAAAAAACTGATATTAAATTCACATGTTTACACAATCAATGATACAGCAGGCCTGCAACCAATTTACACTGAACTGTTTCAGTCATATTTGACCCGTTGAACCTCAAAACCTGCTGGTGGGTTTCAAAGGGATGTTATCTTTAATAAATTGCCACAGTTACACCATTTAGCAGAGCCAGATGGAGTCTATCCCAGCTGACTCAGGGTGAAGGCAGGGGACACCCTGGACAGGTCACCAGTCTATCACAGGGCTACACTTAGAGACAGACAACCAAGCACACTCACATTCACACCTACGGACAATTTAGAATCACCAATTGACCTCAACATGTTTTTGTAAGGAAGCGGAAGAACCCGGAGAAAACCCATGTTGCACAGGGAGAACATGCAAACTCCACGCAGAAAGAGCACGAGTGTCCTCACTGGGATGCGAACCGCCGACCTTGCTGTGAGGCAATGGTGCTAACCACCGAGCACCTTGCAGCCCTCATTAAATCACTTTATTCTAAATGTCTAATTTAAAAAATCATTACTTTGTAGCATTCTATTAAAAATGAGGTGCTTCTTGGCACAACTGAGAACCTTTTAGGGACTCAACCAACAGTCTACTACCAAAAATTTTTCAGTTGCGCTGGGCTGAACTGCAGGCTGTGTTTACACAGACCAGGGCAAAATTGAATTTAAAAAAAATTAACAATATAAATAATAAAATAGCTACAGCATGTAGAGCCATCATTTTTCCCCCAGTATTGATCACACCAGTGAGCACTTGGGAAAATGTTGTACGTGTTCAAATCAATCTTCTTCTTCTTTTTTTTGAGAGTTTCCATTCAGTATAAAGTTAAGATTTTTAGTTCAGTGTGGTTTGTTAGGTTCTCTGTAACAGAGCATCAACACAACTACAGACCATGGCTGTGTCCAAAATCACCCACTATACCCTATATAGTGTTCGTCATTTTGTAGTGCTGTCCGAATGTGAAGTTACAAATGTTACACCCTTTTTTGTATGGGATTGAGGTCAGGGCTTTGTGATGGATACCTCAAAACATTGACTTTGTTGTACTTAAGCCTCTTTGTAATTAATTTGGCGGTATGCTTGGGGTCATTGTCCATTTGGAAGGCCCGTTTGAGCTCAAGCTATAACTTCCTAGTTGATGTCTTGAGATGTTGCTTCGATATTTCCACACAATATTCTTTCCTCATGA